CATTTGTTTTATTATTTTTTTAAAAAATTAATTTATTTTTGGTTCGGTTGTTTCTCCTTTCTCCCCCCAGACACCCTCCTCCTTATCCCACATGTGCTGCCCCCCCAAGCCAACACCATTTATTGAAGAGACTCTCTTTTTTCAATTGTATACTCTTGCCTCCTTTGTTGAATATTAATTGCACATGATGTCTTGGGTCGATTTCTGGGTTCTTTGTTCTGTTCCATTGATCTGTATGCCTGATCTTGTGCCAGTACCAGGCTGTTTTGATTGCAATGGCTTTGTAGTATAACTTGATATCTGCTATTGTAATTCTTCCAACTTTTTTCTTTTTTTTCAAGATTGCTGTGGCTATTCGGGGTTTTTTTGGTTCCATATAAACTTTTGGAGTATTTGTTGTAGATCTGTGAAATATGCTGTTGGTACTTTAATCGAGATTGAATTTAATCTGTAGATTGTTTTTGGGTAGTATGGACATTTTAATAATGTTGATTCTTTCAATCCATACACAAGGTATATGCTTCCACTTTTGTATATCTTCCTGTATTTCTTTTTGCAGTGTCCTGTAGTTTTCTGAGAACAGGTATTTTTCCTTCTTGGTTAAGTTTATTTCTAGGTATCTTATTTATTTAGTTTTTGCAATAGTAAAGGGATTGTTTTTTTAATTTCCCTATCTGAGTGTTCATTATTAGTGTATAAGAATGCCATCAATTTCTGAATGTTAATTAAAAACACTTTTAACAAATTATATATGTGTATATATAGCTTTTAAATATGCTTTATATATTTTAAATTAAAACATTAATTTTTTAAAATTGCAGCTGCCATTCAATAGTATATATATTTAAATATATATATATATATATATATATATTTTTTATCCTCACCCGAGGACACTTTTCCATATTTTGTTCGGATAGAGTGGGAGGGGGAGAGAGAGAGAGAAACATCAATGTGAAAGGGATACATTGAGTGGCTGCCACCCACATGACCCAACCAGGGCCAGGAACAAACTGCAACCAAGGTACATGCCCTTAGTGAGAACCGAACCCGGTTCTCTCTGGACCACAGGCTGACGCTCTAACCGCTGAGCCAAACCGGCCAAGGCGATTTAAAAATATTTTTAAGAGCAGTTTTAGGTTCACAGGAAAATTGAGGAAGAGGTGCAGAGATTCCCTGACCCCTCACATGCCGGGCCTCCTCTGTTATTAACATCGCCCATCAGAGTGGTATGTTTTTTATGCTCTGTGAACCTGCGTTGACACAGCACTGTCACCCAAAGTCCGTAGTTCATCTTAGGGGTCACTCTTGGTGTTGTGCATTCTGTGAGTTTGCCTTATGAATTTTTTTTTTTTAACATTTTTTTCCTTCATTGATTTTAGAGAGAGGGGAAGGGAGATGGAGAGAGATAGAAACATCAAGGAGAGAGAACATCGATTAGGCGTCTCCTGCAAGCCCCCCACTGGGGATCGGGCCCACAACCTGAGCATGTGTCCTGATCGGGAATTGAACTGGTGACCTCTTGGTGCATGGGTTGACGCTCAACCACTGAGCCACACCAGCGGGATGCCTTGTGAGTTTTTAGTCACTGTCACTCAGCATGGCGTGAGGGCATTTCCTGCTCTGTTACTCTGACACAGCCTGGCAGGGACCTTGCCCAGGGTGAGGTATAAAATAGGCACCCAGGCCCTGGCCGGTTTGGCTCAGTGGTTAGAGCGTTGACCCGCGGTCCAGAGAGACCCGGGTTCCGTTCCCGCTAAGGGCGCGTACCTCGGCTGCAGTTTGTCCCCGGCCCTGGTTGGTTGTGCGGGTGGCAGCCACTCGATGTGTCCCTTTTGTGTGGATGTTTCTCTCTCTCTCTCTACCTCTCTCCCCCTCCCACTCTATCTGAACAAAAAATGGAAAAATGTCCTCGGGTGAGGATAAAAAAAAATAGGCACCCAGTCAGCATGTGTTGTGCGGTCTACAAGGGAGAAAGTGTCTGAACACTTGCTGTTCAGAGTGTGGTTGCAGACCTGCCCCCCCACCCCCACCCCGGGAGCCACAGGAGAGCTGAGCACCCCCGGACCCCCTGGACAGCGCCTGCATGTAAACAAGGTTCCCGGTCATTTGTGTGCACGGGTATCTCCCAAGCCCGTTCCGTTCTCTGTCATCGCAGAGAGAACCTTTGGTGAACTGACGCTTGAGAGCTTGAAACTTGATCTCCAGGGCTTGAAATTAGAGTCCCCGAAGCCTTTTCTGCAGGGAGAGGGACTCACCTGGGTTTTCCAGCCTCTTCCAGAATTCATTCCAGAAGTGATTCCCCGTGGCATTGCCGCCGCTGTCTCTCCGGCGCTGGTGTCTCTCTCCTGGGGTTTGGCCAGATACAAAAACAGCATCACAGCTTGGCGCACCTCCTGTTTCCTAATTGGAAGTTTCAGAATTTTTCATGCTTTTAACCACTTTGTCTTCCCTGTGCCCTGTCCTTTGAAGACAGAGTTTATCGAATTCTAATTTACATCAGATACTTGAGCTCATAAATTAGCCACGAAGTGGTGCTTTTCTTTGTTATTTTATCTCTTGCAGTCTTCTGGTGCACTTATAAATATGTTTCTGATTCATTTAGAAAGAAATTTCACTCCCTGTTCTTATGTATCAAAAATAAATTGTCTCATAGCAGTTTTAAAACAGACACATAAATGGTTTATCCTTAGGAAAACGTTCCAGTCTGTCTGCTACGCGGTTGGATAGAATGTTGATTTCATGACTTCGTAAATGTATTAACTCTTTAACCTTTACTGTAGAAAAGAACAGCTGCCACTTTCCTTGTGTAAAGTATCATGTTTGCTCTTATGTACGCCGGAAATGTGACAGGTACATGGTAAAAACACACAGACGAGACCTCCTGGAGCCAGGTTGTGCAGAAGACAACGGATGCTGAGTAATATTGCTGTGAAACAACTTAAAACCTGTAGGAAATGGCCCGGCCAGTGTGGCTCAGTGGTTGAGTGTCAACCCATGCACCAAGAGGTCGCTGGTTTGGTTCCCGGTCAGGGCACACGCCCAAGTTATGAGCCAAATCCCCAGTGGGGGGCATGCAGGAGGTGGCCAGTTGATGTTCTCTCTCATTGATGTTTCTACCTCTTTCTCCCGCTCCCGTCCTCTCTCTCTAAAATCAGTAAAGAAAAAAAAAAAAGTTTGTAGGAAGTGGTTTTCTTCGTTTATTGTTCATTTAAAAATTTTTTTAAATTGATTTTTAGAGAGAAAGGAAGAGAGACGGAGAGAGATAGAAACATCGATGAGAGAGAACATCGATTGGCTGCCTCCTGCATGCCCCCCACTGGGGATCAGGCGGACAACCTGGGCATGTGCCCTGACCGAGAATCGAACCAGTGACCTCTCAGTGCATGGGTCGATGCTCAACCACTGAGCCACACCGGCCGGGCTGTTGTTCATTTTCAAAAGACATTATGTAGAGAGGAATAAGACCCTTCAAAGTAAGCAGTTTTTATCTGGTGTAAATTTGTGACTTTCACATACTAATGGAACCAACTAGATATATTTTACCTATATAAATATATGGCTAAAAATTATTTTAAAATTTTAGTACATATACACAAAATCTATTCACAGAATTTTGTCTTCACTCTTGATTTCCACCTCTGCTAGTGAGTCACCTTAGGATGCCCTCCTTCAGCTTCTGTGTAATTGTAGTAAGCTATTTTAATTCTGTATTATGTTTTATAACCTCACAAATTACAGAGCATTATTGTTCCTTTATACCCTCGGAATTTGTTTAGATTTAACCATACTACCTTTATCATTTATTTATTCTCTATTCCTTTTTCTCAGATCTTCCTTCTGGGATAATTAATTACCTTTCCTCTTGAAGTATGGCAGGTTCTCACATAACATTGTTTTGTTCAATGTTTGTCGTTTTGTTACAATGTTGGTGAGGTGCTGTAGGAATTTAACTCTTGTTCATATCAATTAGCCTATGGTAAAGTTGATACATTGTTTTGCTTAAAGCTGCAGTACCTATCAGAGATGTTGAGGATTGTTAATAGACGTCTCTACTGAAGGTCTTCTGTTGGTATAACCACTTTTTGCTGATCTGAAGTGGTCTTTATTTTAACGAATAGGAGTGATGCTGTTTGTTCGATCTAAGCTGTCTGCATGAGGCTCACAGTGTAATGAGCCGACAGTTGATTTTAGTGGGCATGATAAGTGGGTGATCGTAGAAGCTAGGGAGGGGTACTGACCCAACCTGAGGAGGGAGGTGGTACCTGTGCTGCATCTGCAGGACCCGTAGGCATCACCCGGGTGTAGAGCCAAGGCCTTCCAGGCAGAGGGACAGGAATGTGCAAAGGCTGAGCCAGAGAGGCTTTGGGTTCAGGAAATTAAAGGTAGCCTATTTGGCCAGAGCATAGTTGGGAAGGCATGAGACTGGAGCAGGGAGTGCGAGGTCGCCTGAGGCCTTAGCGTGGAAGGCCATCTGACCAGGAACCTGTTGAGCTCTCTTACTGGGGAGTGAGGGATGCAGTCCGAGTTGCCTTGTCCATTTCTATGCAAGCGAGAGAGCGTGGGCTTGGGCGTTCCGGCGGCTGGCATTCAGAGTCCAGCCCCACGCCCGTCCGGGTGAGCATGTCGTTGGTTTAGTTACCTTCTCTGCACTTCTCTTTCTCCTGTGATGAACGTGGGAGAATGCACTCGACAGCGTCCCCCGGCCTCCCCCGTTCCCGTATGCTGTGGGGACGTCAGCAGAGAAGAGGAAAGTGCCCTTCTGTGCACGCACAGGCGTGGGTAAAGCTGGAGCCCAGACCTGTGACTGCTGGCAGATGCCACCCTGACAGCCATGCTGGCAGTGTCTGGCTTCCCACGAGCCGCTGAACTTCCATGAATTGTGGATGTTCACAATGAGTGGGTATTGGTTGAAAGAGTAAAATTTTATATCTGAATCACAACGTGAGCAGCGTGCCTTGCGTGGCCGGCAGCTGACCTGGCTTTTGTTTGCTTTGCAGACGAGCTGTCTTCGGAAGGGCCCCGCCTTTCTCCCTCCTCCCCGGAGCTCGGGCACAGCCCTGCACACGTGGCCTTAACAGAAACCGCCCCAGGGTCCCCGCAGAGCCGTGCTCTCCACGTCATGTCATCTCCCTCCGCCGCGACTTTTGATACAGCCTTTTCCAACCAAGGAACACTGACCCAAAGTCCAACGGATCACAGCATCTTTGTGGCAAGTTCCGTGTCAGTGACGAGCAACGAGGTGGTCATAGATGACGATGAAATGGATAACTTTTTGCCAGAAACTCCGTGGGCCACCTCCCACGTGGTTTCTCCGATTCAGTACACCACCGTGGGCCCACGGGAGCTGCCCGAGGAGACATCAGGCCCCGTGCTGACACCATCGCTGCCCATGATTTCGTCCCAAGATGAAGAAGTGACATCACCCTGGCGAGACACCGTGCAACCCACAACCCGCGCCGAGTCCCCCAGGCATTTCAGTGCTTCGTGGTCACCTTCTCTCACTTCCAAGGGCATGACTCCAACTCCTAGTAGGAATTTGGTGCTTTATCTGACTGACCCTTCTGGGCACTCATCAAGCAGGACTTTGCTGGAGATCGTGGCTTCAGGGACAGAGGGTGCAGAGACCCTCCTTTTTAGCTCGACGTCCTCAGTGCCTCAGCCATTAGGCAATGGCATCACTCAACAGCCATTTCCCGCCTCCGGCGAGGTCTCAGCACCTCCCGAGGATGTTCTGGCTCCAGGTACAGACAGATACCCCGATGCGACCACTGCTTTGCATTGGAGTCTGGAAGAAACCCTCTGCCCAGGACCGTCTCCTACGGCAGCTGCGTCGCACAGAGCCCTTGCTTCCAGAAGCAGCGGCAGCAGCCTGCATCCGGCTCTGTTTTCCACCCCTCTCGCGTTCGTGTCCTTTTCTTCTCAATCAGCGGATGTTTCGTCTAACCCCGTTCGTCCCAGCAGCTCCCAGGAGGCAGCAGAATTGCCTGGCAGCTCCGTGGTCCCAAGTCAGGTGGACGCCACTCACGTCTGGAGCCCGGGGTCTCCACTGAGACCGTCCACGTGGTGCGTGACCTGCGCTGTGGCGTCACCGCGGCACGTTCTGCCCACGAGCCTCCCGGAGAAGGACGTGGGATCAGGGGACGGTGCTGAGACCATGACCGTGTGGGAAGCGAGCAGCATCGCGCCACCGAGCGGCGTGGTAGCGGACGTCTCTGACTTCGAGGAGGAGCCTCGAGAATACAATCTGCTTTTCCCCTCGAGACCAGTAGTTCCACTGTCTTCGCGACCCGTGGAAATCTCAGAAACGGGCCTCGGCCTTTCTGTCGAGGTGGACGCGAGCAGCGTCACGATCACACGAGTGTATCCTTCCCACGGCCGCCTGTCCCCGCCGGGGCCACTTGATACCGTTTCCTCTGGCTCCTGCTGTGTCGCTGAAACTCAAGTAACGCCACCCCGGGTGACAGCTGTGCCTCCTCTGGTCATCACCCGTGTTCTCCTTGACTCATCTTTCTCTGTCACAGCCGACGAACACACGCCGTCACTTGCTGCCAGCGTCCCAACTCTTTTTACGTCTTACGGTTTGGATCCGTCGGTGGAACCTGCCAGTTTTCCCCCAGAAACCAGCATTGTTTTGCAGTTTGCTTCCAGCTCTTTCTCAACCCCGCCACTGGGGTTCAGCAGCTCGGCCCCCTCCTCTCCCGGAGGACTTGCGTTTCCATCTCCGGTGTCAAGTGACCTGTCCAGCTTCATTGCTCAGGCCTTTTCCACTTCGGGCGAGACACCTGCACTGTCTGACGTGCTCAGTCTGTCGTCACCGCAGCCTTCTGTCCCTAATTCCACCAAGCTCGACTTTCCTGCGCTCGGGCCGCGTTCAGACCTTCCTTTAAACGCGTCTGCGTTCCTGCCTCACCACTCTGAGGTGTCCTCGCCGTCAGGCCTCTACTCGGAGTCTCTCCAGGTCTCCGAAGCAGCAGCAGTTTCACTGACAGATGCTGAAGCTCATTTTACCTCAACTTTCACGGCAACTACCTCCTGTTCTGAGTTTTCACTCATGTCCCATGACTCTGCAGTCCCCACCCTGGCGCCGTCCAGGTCGGAGCCCACCCTTGACGTTTGGACTGCGGGGACTCACTTCACGTCACTTCTGACTGCTTTTCACACAACACCCACCTTAATGGAATCATCTCTGTCTTCAACTCCAGCGCCTTTCGACGGTGGTATCAGTGCCATGGGTGATCACGGGTCCGTCTTATCCTCCTTCTCCGAGGTTGTTCCTTTCACTGCAGTATTGGTCACCGCTGGGTCCCCGGCGTCAGCATCCTCATCTCTTTCTGAAGGGGTCCCCTCCCCTGCACCTACAGAGCCAATATCTGTGAGCCCCTCGTTCACACCCACAGACCTACTGATGAACACCCCTGAGCTGAGCACATCTCACCCCAGCCCTGCCCCTGACGTCATCCCGGACAGCGTCCCTGAGGGCCAGGTTCCCCACCAGAGCAGCGGGGCCCTGCCCTCGCCACCCCTCCATCCCGCGTCCACCTCCGCTCCTGAAGCAGCGGTCACTGCTCCGGCGGTCATCACCACCAAGCCGCCGTATGTGTGTGACATCACGGTGCCCGATGCCTATTTGATCACAACCGGTAAGGCCCTGCGGTGTCATCTCTCTTGTTTGGGGTGGTCTTTCTGAGGTGCTGTTTGAAGTGCTCACGTGATATGGGGCATCGTGGCAAAGGCCCCGAGGTCCCCTGGGTTCGTAATCCTCACTGCCTTGCTGATCACCTGGGAGTTCTCCAGACAGTTCCTTAGCCTCGCTGAGCCTCAGTTTCCTCCACGCTGGCACCCACTTCATTGTAAAGATTTAAAGGCTTTAATGCATATAAAGTGCTCAAGCCAGTGCCTGGTGTATGAAGAGCACCCAGTGTTACTTCATAGTGGTTTGTAGTAGCAATAAGAATACATAAAAGATTTAAACGGGCTTTAGAAGCTTTTGCTAGGATGTGCGTCTTTGGCACCCATAACCCAGTGGGTGCTTAGAAGACGTGGTTGAAGCAGTCCTGTGTGACCGGCCAACACACGGTATCTCCCCGCGCAGCTGCCTGTCACGTGACACCGGAGGATGTTTGCTGCCGTGTTTCTGCCACTCCAGTGACTGTGGCTTGTGTGATAAGGCTCTGCGCTTGTTCTTCATGAGATATGACAGGCACACATGAAGTCTTGCGACTCGTGCCTGTGTACTTATATACGACCCGTTGATGAGCAGCCTGGCGGTGTGTGTGGATTTTGATGGGGATGAGGGGTAGACACGAACAGAGGGGAGGAAGACAGCAGGAGAGGTAGAGGAGGAATGGCGTGGACATGGAAGGGAGGCACAAGGAAAGGTGGAGGTGGGGGAGGAGAAGGAGAACATCTTGGTCTTGGTTCTCCATGCCAAGTGACGTCAGCCATGTGTCCTCCGCTTACCATGGGGGTGCTGCGACCCTCCCAGGGAGTTGGGAGCAGCTGAAGCCTTTGCTCTCCCAGCTCCACCCTCCCCATTTGTTAATGCGCGTGACAAGTAGTCATGGAGCTCTGAGTATGTGTGAAGTGCTTCTAGAAGCTTCCCGGGATATAGATGAATGACACGGTCCCGTCCCTCAAGGCGCTTCTAGTCCAGGAGGGCGGAAGCTGAGCCGTGTTTTCTCGGCAGCTGTGTTGAGGGGTTGAAGCAGAGTTCTCTGAGAGTGAATGAGGGTGATCAGGGTTTGGAAGGTTGTGCGTTGGAGGTCTCGTTCACGGATGAGTGCCAGGCTGTCAACTGGAGATGGAAGGAAGTGTCCCAGATTGAGGGTGTGAACACAGGTGGAGAGGCTGGACAGATGGGGACATTCAGTTCGGCTGTAAGTAGACTATGTAATGGGAGGAGGTAATTATGCAGGAAAGGAGGTTGGGACGAAGCAGTGAACTTTCATCTTGGGGATTACAGCAGTTCAGAGGAGAGAGAAAAGAATTTCTAACAGACAAGATACTTTTCTTCCTTCCTACAGAATTGTTACACAGTAGCTACAAAGCGGCCAGTTACAATAAACTTATTAAAAGAACTACTGAAAGCTTCTTTATCTGGGCTTCTATGACATTTATGACACTTATGGTTATAATGTATCTTTTAGAATTTAACATTCTATAAATAATTAGAAACCATTTTAGAAGTATCTCTAAAAATATCAAATATATGTAGTATATATAACATACATTTAATGAGTTTAATATCCTTTGCTAGGGATCATTGTATTTTTAATAGTGTCTTGGGGTAAAATTCACCCATTGTAAATGTACACTTCAAGTTTTAGTAAATGTGCAGAAGTATCCATACTGTTACTTTCATATAGGAAGTATCTTATTTTGAATCTTCATTTACATTTTGACCTTTTTAAAAAAATATTAATTTTTTTAGAAAGGAATGGGGAGGAAGAGAGAGAGAAACATCAATATGAGAGAAAAACTCTGATTGGCCGCCTCCTGCACACCCCACCGGGGATCAGGCCCACAACCCAGGCATGTGCCCTGACCGGGAATGGAACTGGGACCGCTCAGTCCATGGGATGATGCTCAATCCACTGAGCCACATGGGCTGGGTGAGACCTTGGGGTTTTTGTTGTTGTTTTTTTGGTAACTATGGATCAGAGAAAAAGAAGGTTGGGTGATTCTTTGTCCTCTGAAAGGGTTTTTTATAGGGAGCTCCGTAATAAAAGTGAGAGTGTTCTCCTTTGATCCGTGATGGGTTCTTAGGAAGGCACTGGCCACACGTACCCAGTATGGGGTGAGGCTGCCTTCACCCAGAGCTGGCCTGCCCCCAGGCCTCTCACCCCTCTTGCTCTGGGGAAACCCTAGCTATTTGGAGAGACCATAGGTATTTGTTGACGATCCTTTCTTCCCAAAGATTCTTGGACTCATATCCCAATGTTGCAGTTTTAGATCTTACTCTGATTAATTCAAGAAGGTGGAGGTTATGGTGGTGGGTCACAGAGACCATTCAGAGTAATACAGCAGGACCTCGGTAATGTCATTTTGATAGGACATTTATGAGATGCTGAAGGAACTTGACCCTTGTTGCACATGAGAACTCCATGCTCTCTGTCCCCTGCCTGGGGCACCAGGTGATCCCTGGTCTCCCCCGCCGAGGCAGAGTCGAGGGTTTCCGCAGCATGTCGAGCTGATGCTGTGCATGGCTGACCTGGTACCGTCAAGCTGTTCTTACCTCGTTGGGGCCTTATTTACAGAGCAGGGTTTGGAGCCGCTGCCCCGGTTTGGCCCGGCACAGGCTCTGTCTGCCCTGGGGTCCAGAAGTGTGGTGCCTGTGTTAGCCTCAAGCCACTGACCTGCACGTGCTTGAACTTGCAGTGCTGGCCAGGAGAGCCGTGCAGGAGTACATCATCACGGCCATCAAGGAGGTGCTGAGAAGCCACTTCAACCGCGCGGTGGAGCTCAAGGTGGGTCCCTGCGGCGTGGAGTCTGCGGCGGGAGCCCAGGCGGAGGCCCAGTGTAGTTGGTCACGGAGCGTTCTCTTCCCTTCCGTCCCCTGGTGAACACCATTTCAGCCTTTGGATCTCCACTCAAGTGTCACGTCGTCAGGGAAGCCCTTCCTGACCCCAGACTGGGCCAGGTTTAGCCCTCCGGAGGATGTGTTGGCAGAGTGGGAGCCAAGGGGCTCCAAGACCAGGGTTTAGGGCGATGACCCGCATGATTGTGCCGCTCTTGATTTCCATGAAAGGACTCAGATTCGAGTTTAAATTAGACTTTAGAGACGGTGCATATGCATGTTTCTGTACGTTCAATGAATTAGAGATAGATCTCCAGATGTTTTATGGTAGACACTGTGCCAATGCCTCCTCTCCCCCTTGAGCTCAGAAGCCACGCTTAGACCCCTCCCTTCCCCAGGGGGAGCCGCGAGCCCCATGTGGCACCTGAGCGTGTGAAATGGGGTTCGTCTGAATTGAGGTGGGCTGCCAGTGCCCAATACACACTGGATTTTAAAGTCTTAGTGAAGAAAAGAATGTAAAATATCCCACTAGTAATTTACATAGAAATGATGTCAGGTATATTGGGTTAAGTAAAATGTCTGTAAAATTAATGTCACCCGTTTCTTTTTGCTTTTTAATGTGACTCCCAGAAATTGTATACTTGCATATGGAGCTCACCTATTTCTTTTGGACAACACTGCTCAGTAGAGTAACTGTTTCCTTATATGTGGGTTAAATACAGCAAACATCTCGAATTCTGCATAACTTCTTATTCAGTTCACATTGTTGGCTATTCTTTCTCGCTGTCCTTGCTCTTGTAATTTTGTGCTGTTTTCAAGAAGGATAGCAGATGTGTAGAAGTACCTACTAAAATAAAATTTTGACCGTGAAGCACTGGTCCTTCTTTTAAAACTAGCTATTTAGCCCTGGCTGGTTTGGTTTAGCAGTTAGATGGTCAGCCTGAGGATTGAAGGGCCTCAGGTTAGATTCCTGGTCAAGAACACATACCTGGGTTTTAAGTTCAATCCCTGGTTGGGGTCATGCAGGAGGCAACCAGTCAATATGTCTCTCTCACATCGATGTCCCTCCCTCCCTCCCTCCCTCCCTCCCTCCCTCCCTCCCTCCCTCTCTATCTAAAAATATCAATGGAAAAATATCTCTGAGTGAGGATTAACAGAAACAAACAAATAAATAAAATAAAACTAGCTATATTTATTTTTATACCTTTATTATTTTTATTTTTTTTCAAAAATTTTTTTCTTTATTGATTTTAGGGAGAGAGGAAGGGAGAGGGAGAGAGAGAGAGAGAAACATCGATGAGAGAGATCATCAATTTGGCCACTTCCTGCACGCCACCCACTGGGGGATCTGACCCACAACCTGGGCATGTGCCCTGACCTGGAATTGAACCAGTGACCTCTTGGTGCATGGGTCAATGCTCATCCACTGAGTCACACCGGCCAGGCTACTTTATTATTTTCTACTCAGTACAACTTCCTGTTCACTTGGTTGATGGTAATTTTGATTCAGTAGTTTGGTAATTATTATCTTTTGTCTCTTTTATTTTCATAGGTTTATGAACTATTCGCTGACTTCACTTTTCTGGTAACATCTGGTCCTTTTGTTTACACGGCGATATCAGTCATAAATGTGCTTATAAATAGTAAACTTGTACGTGACCAAACTCCTTTAATCCTGGCTGTGAAACCTTCCTTCCTGGTGCCGGAGTCCAGGTTCCAAGTCCAAACGGGTGAGAACACTGACCATAGTTGTTTTGACTTGTAAATAGAGGTTCACGTTCTTTTTAAAAATGTTTGTAAAAAAAAAAAAAAAAAAGAGATGAAAGATTTATACAATCTGAAGAGAAACCTGAGTATAAATGTTTGTAAAACATTTAGGGAGGATTTTAAAAAAATGTACTTAAATCTTCAAAAACTTTATAGTTATACAAAAGTACGCAGAGTAGTTTCATGAACCCTTTACCTAGTGTACAGTTTCAACAACTGTCAACACCTTGCTACCTCTACACCCCCACTACAGCCCCTCCTCTCATATTACTTTGTTTTCTGTTTGTTTCTTCATTAAATGTATCGAGGTGACTTTAGTTACTGAAGTTACATAGGTTTCTGGTGTACATTTCAATGATACATGTCTGTATACTGCACTGTGTGCCCACCACCCAAAGTCAAGTCTTTTCTCATCACATATTTGACCCCTTTATCCTTTACTATCCCCACCCCCTTTCCATCTGGTACCCTCCACACTATTGTCTGTCTGTGAGGTTTTTTTGGTTTGTTCTTCTTGTTTGTTCATTTGTTCCTTTCAGTTTTATATTCATGTGAGTGAAATCATGGTTCTCGACTTTTTCGGTCAGACTTATTTCTGAAATACTACCACTTGTGACAACGTGGATTGATCTTGAGAATATCTCATGTTATTTTGATATGACATGATATCATCTCATTCATAAATATTTTAGCCTGTGTCCCTAAAAGATAAGGATTATTAAACATATATACACACATACGTGTACATACACATATATACACGTATCCATATATGCATGCATGCATACAAATATTTCTTCCAATATCATCATACCCCCTAAAATTCATAGTAATTCTTTACTATCATATTTAACTTTTTATTACAGACATTATTTAAACATACAGAAATAGAATAACATATTAAGCCCACATATGCTCATCACGAAGTTTAAACAATTATGAACATTTTCCCAATTTTGTTTTATCTAACTCCCACACAGCTTTTTGAGGAACGCTAGCGTGTTTTACAGCAATACCAGATATCATGTCATTTCACCCATAAATATTTCTCTAATTGATATATTGGAAATAGTTTAGTCAGTTGTTAAGTATTTTCCCATTTAAAAATGATAATGTCTGCCCGGCCGGGTGGCTCAGTGGATTGAGTGTCGCCCCATGGACTGAGAGGTCCTGGTTTGATTCCCGGTCAGGGCACATGCCTGGGTTATGGGCTTGATTCCAGTGGGGCGTGTGCAGGAAGCAGCCAATTGATGTTTCTCCCTCACATCAATGTTTCTCTCTCTCCCTAAAACATCAATAAAAACATATTAAAAAAAAAATAACATCACCTTTACATTGCATGTTTTCATCTGGTGCAGAGATAGATACTTTCTACATTTTCATGATACAGACATAAAAAATGATACAGCATAGAACTGAATCCTGTTCATGGATGAAGTAGGTGGTTTTGGTACTGTTTCTCCCTCTCCTTATTCCTCGATAATGAAGAAACGCCTCGTTCACGGGCCGTGATTGCTGTCTTTCTTTCAGTCCTTCAGTTTGTGCCTCCGAGCGTGGACACCGGCTTCTGCACCTTCACCCAGCGCATCGAGAAAGGCCTGATGACGGCGCTCGCTGAAGTGCGGAAGCACCGCCAGGGCGCCTATAACCTCACGGTGCAGGTGAGCGGGGCGCCCGATGCAGAACGGACGCCTCGGCCTTTCCGGAGGAGCCGGTTTCATAATGTCGACGGTGCACGTAACGCTCGCTGATTCCCTCCAGTGGAGGAGATCCCCTTCGCGTGGGTCAGGGTTGATCTCTTTCCCTGGCATTGGAGCAGGATCACCAGGGAGCTCAGCTGCGATGCGCTGAGGAGAGATGATCATCTGCAGGAAATTCAAGAATGTTCTTAAAAGGACCCATACCCAGCCCTGGCTGGTTTGGCCCAGTGGTTAGAGTGTCAGTCTGTGGAACAAAGGGTTGTGAGTTCGAATACCAGTCAAGGGCATGTATGTGGGTTGCAGGTTTAATCCCTGGCCTCGGTTGGGGTGGTGCAGGAGGCAACCGATTGATGTGTCTCTCTCACATCGATGTTTCTCTCTCTCCCCCTCCCTTCCACTCTATCTAAAAACCAATGCAAAAATATCCTCGGCTGAGGATTAACAACAGCAACAAAAAGGAACCATATGCAGTGTGGGGAATGCCTAAATACACAGTTCTTTTGTTTTATGGGATACCATGAAAGGTCGTGCTTCACTCTGAACAGAGGGAATACAGCTACTAATCAAAGAACAGGTTTTGTCTGTATTGTATGGAAACTGCCGATGTTTTTATATTTCTTTGATATTTTTTCTTCCATATGCTTTGTTTTCTTTCTGGAATTCGTAAGAAATAGATTTTGGTGCTCCTAGATTCACTTTCGTATTTCGTATATTTTTAATCTCTTTTATAATTCCCTATTCTTACAGATTTTTCTAATCTTTGTCTTCCAGGTCATTAATTGACTCTTCAGCTGTGTTTAGTACGTTACTCAATCCCTCTGTTGAATTTTCTTTTAGCCATCACTTTTTCCATTATTCTTTGCTCCTTTTTTATTGCACTTTTCTGCAGTGATGCAGGATTATCTTGCGTGAGGATGTACTATCGCCTTGAAAGTCTCTAATGGACATTAGAGTTTTTTTTTTTAAGGTTGTCTTCTCTTTCCTAAGTTATCTCTATTTTCTCTGCAGCCATTGTACTGTGTCGATTTTGGTCCTTTGCTTTCGTGCTATTAGTTTTCTACAAATGCCTGGGACCGTTGATTGGCTGGTGTTAGGAGTGAAGGAGCAGGTCATTGACTTTGGCAGCTCATTCGGCTTTCCCCTTCAGCTGTCGAGTCTGTTTCCACGTCAGCCTTGTGTCCTGATGGGACATTCAGTGGAACACTGGGCACCTGGCAGACTATCAGCGGTGAGCTTCTCTCCGGGGCTGTGAGCGGGCAGAGACAGGCAGACCGGGACCCCTGTCCCCAGTGCGAGATGAGGAGGTCAAGCCTGGGATGGAGCACAAGCTGCTTTTTTCATTCATTTTCTCTCCTCCTCTGTCTCTGGTAAACAGTCTCTACCCACCTGCTCGCTTAGGGACGAAACCTGCAGTACATCTCTTGGTCTTCTCAGGCAGGGAGTTCACTGTCCTCAGGGAGCCGTGCTCCGGGCTGTTCTGGGTGGAGGGTGGTGTGGTGGCCGTTAGCACCTCTGTGTTGCTCCGGGTGTGGCCGTCAGAAAGGGAAAGGGAGGAACTTGGCTGGGCTCCTGGGCACACCGCCTTTGCTTGATTATGGCTGTGGAGCTCGCCTGGGCCGCTCTGGAGAATGGCCCCACTGTGGTCTCTGCCTGTGGGCTCTGGGCCTTGGCCCCCCGTTCTCGTTTCTATCCACATGATTTCATCCTCCCTCTGTTTGCCAGAAATTCGACAGCATCTCAGGGTTTCTTCCATTCTCAGTGCTGTTGTAGACTTGTTCCTCTTTGTTCAACTTCATTGTTCTTTCTGTGGCATCTAGGAGGGGAGGGGGAGGGGAGAGGCTATAGATACATGTGCTCAGTTCATCACTTAGTGTAAAAAAAAATTTGCAATAACCTGAGGATTTAAAGTTGCAAAAGGGAACCAGGTCATTGAAGCCATTGCTTTTCCTTTAAAAATGTTCCTTCTTTTTTTAAAAATCCTCACCCAAGGATATGTTTATTGATTTGAGGGGGAGAGAGAGAGAGAAACATTGATGAGAGAGAAACATTGCTCGGTTGCCTCCTGTACACCCCCTGACTGGGGATCAAACCCGCAACCTTTAGGTGTATGGGATGATGCTCCAACCAACAGAGCCACATGGCTGGGGCTAAAAATGTTGCCTCTTTTTTTTTTTATCCTCACCCAAGGACATTTTTTAATTTATCTTCAGATAGAGTGGGAGGGAGAGAAGGAGGAAGACAGAGAGAGAGAGAAACATCGATGTGAGAGAGACACATCGACTGGTTGCCACCCACACAACCCTACTGGGGCTGAGGACAAACTGCAACCGAGGGACGTGCCCTTAGTGGGAACTGAACCCGGGACTCTCTGGTCCGCAGGCCGACGCTCTAACCGCTGGGCCAAACCGGCCAGGGTATTGTTCCCTCATTTTAAGAAATACCAGAGAGAGATAGAAATCATAGTCAGAATTTCAGCGGAATGTTTTCATTTATGTTAGAAGCTGACTCCGACTTCCTTCTTTCAGATCCTGAATATCACCGTGGGTTCTTCCAGGGGGGCGCCTCGCCGGGGCCCCGTGAATATCGTCTTTGCTGTTAGAGGCCCGCAGGAGTTTTGGAACGGCACCCAAGTGAGCGAGCTGCTCAGGAACCTGAGCGAGGTGGAGTTCAGTTTCTACCTGGGGTACCCGGTGCTCCAGATCGCGGAACGTGAGTACGGCTCCCGGCCAGTGCGGGGAACGCGGCCCTGAGCCTTCGTCGGTGGACCTGTTTCCCTCCAGTGACATACTTAGCTGAAGTCCAGAATAAAAATCAGATGAAATTGGAACTTCTCAGAGTCAAGCTAGGGTGCACCTCCAGACCCTCCTCACCCACTGGGCCTCAGTTTGTTCTCTTATCTGAGGAAAGGGGTGTGACGAAAGACTACACCAGTTCTGGAAAAGGGGGAGGGGGCAGAGAGCATATCTGTGGTTGCCAGGGGTGAAGGTGGAGGAAAGCCAGACCACAAGAGAGCGGCAGAGGCCGTTTCGGGGGCGATGAGATTGTTGTTCTGTGTCTTTATTGTGGTGCTGGTTCCAGGGATCTAGGCATTTGTCAAAATCTATAAAACTAGCCCCCCAAAAGAGTGAATTTTATTTTGTGTACACTTAAAAAAAGAATGATTACTAAAGACAAACAAAACCTTTCTCCCCGGCAATGAGATTCACGGTGCAGATGAGTGGGATGGGAGAAGCACTTACTTCAAGCACCCAGTAGGTGCCCGCGTTGAAGTCAGGCCCCCTCTGGCCCCCCCAGAATCAAGGTACAGCTAAATGGTCTAATGATTCTTAATGTATGTGCTGTGCTGTTAATGAAATGACAAGAATCACTTGTCAAGTGAAGCCGTAGACGAGGCTAAAATCATTATTTACATCGAGCAGCTTTCAACTATGTACGTGAAGATGTGGGTGCAGTAATATGCTGGGCAACAGGTGTGCACCAGGACTGTCCACGCAAGCCAGGGTCACGGGCCCGAGTCACTGCTGGGAGACCCTAGGCTCTGAGGAACGTGGCGTGAAAACTCAGGGCTCTGGACCAATGACATCCCAAGGGGCACGTGTGGGTGATGTGAAGCAGTGACCCTCGATGTCCCTGGAGCAAGCCCTTTATTGCTTTCTGTCCCTCTTCCTCTGTGAAACTGATGTGCTCAGAAACTGCTTTCTGTCCACCAATCTGGCATTTTCTTCCATATTTATTGGTAAGGCGTAAAGGCCAGGCAGTGTCCTGTGGCTTACCCAGTGTTTCCTAGGACTCGCTCCTTTCTGGCTGCTGCAGACATGTTTTTTATAGATTTGTCTCCTTCCCTGCCTCTTTCCTTTTTATAGCCTTCCAGTACCCGCAGCTCAACCTGTCTCAGTTGTTGAAGTCCTCTTGGGTACGAACAGGTATGTTTAATGTACGTCATATTTTGGGAACTATAAGAATAAGAAATCTGCCCGGCCGGTGTGGCTCAGTGGTAGAGCATCGACCCATGCACCAGGAGGTTGCTGGTTCGATTCCCGTCAGGGCCCGTGCCCAGGCTGTGTGCCCGATCCCCGTGGGGGACATGCAGGAGGCATCCAGGCGATGTTCTCTCTCATCGATGTTTCTATCGCTCTCTCCTTCTCCCTCCCTCTCTCGCAGTCTGACAGGGACTGAGTATTTCAGTCCAGAACAGGATGAGTTACTGAAGGAAGGGTCTTTCTTTTTCTTTTTCTAAAAGTCGTATTTGTTTGGTTGTATAAAGACAAATAAGGTAACCTGGTGAGCAAATAAGAAGCCTTTTTATTTTATTTTTTTTTATCCTCACCCAAAGACATTTTTCCATTTTTTGTTCAGGTAGAGTGGGAGGGAGAGAGAGGAACAGAGAGAGAGAGAGAGAGAGAAACATCGACGTGAAAGTGACACATCGAGTGGCTGCCACCCGCACGACTGACCAGGGCCGGGGACAAACTGCAACCGAGGTATGTGCCCTTAGCGGGAACCGAACCCGGGTCTCTCTAGACTGCAGGCCGATGCTCTAACTGCTGAGCCAAACCAGCCAGGGCAAGAAGCCTTTTTAAAAGTCTTGCCGGCCCAGGTCAGATATTTACCATGATGGCTTTTACCAAATAAGACTTTCTGTCCTGGTTCCACGAAAGTGCGAGAAGCACTAACGTGCCCACGCGTGGTCAGGGTGTGAGCAACACAGTGAGGAACTCGTCCTCGGGAGGAAGCACGTGGAGGGTGCGCGTCACCACGATGGGTCCCGTACCTGCAAGTCCTCCTTGCTTCACATACCACTTTCCACGGTAAAGCCCCTCCTCTTTGCGTGGTACCGTGGCCTCCTTTTCCAGATAGTTTCCCGGCGGTGCAGTGACTTGCCCGTGGTCGTGGTTGCGTCTCAGAGGGGGTTCGACCCCGTGCTGGAGTCAAGGGAAATCTGGCAGACGATCTGTTCGCATTGTCCTGTTCACAGCAGCTGTCTGAAGACAGGCACTTTATCTTGAGTCCGTTTATGAGTCAAGATAAGATATGAACTTAAACCATTGCCAGAAGTTTTGAAATACGTGCAGACAAACTGTTTGATCTCGTGCAGGCCCTCTTAGCCCCCCGCCCCCGTGCACTGCTGACTGTCTGGGGTTCTGGCCGCCAGTCCGTAACACGTGGAGCGTGGAGCTATAGCTGAGACCCGTGAGCAGCGCGTCCTAGACCCTCCCTCACTTCCCCCCCGTTAGTGTCTCCTCTCTCGGGCAGCGGTTTCAACTGGTGTGCCGCCAGCCATTTCAAAACGTGATACCGACTAGTCAGGGCCACTGACTTCTTTTCCCTTAGACTGGCAAATTAAGATATGACAGCAGCTCCCTGGCCGGTTTGGCTCAGCAGTTAGAGTGTCAGCCTGCGGATCAGTGAGTTGAGGGTTCGATTCCGGCCAAGGGCACATACCTTGGTTGTGGTTCCATCCCCAGCCCTGATCCGGGTCGTGCAGGAGGCAACCAATCGATGTGTGTCTCTCACATTGATGTTTCTCTCTCTCTCTCCCCCACTCTATCTGAAGATAAATGGAAAAAAAATGTCCTCGGGTGAGGATTAAAAAAAAAATGACAACCGCCATCATAATAATAGCCATCTGGTATGAATGACTCAGAATGATACCTATATTTTTTGTCAGATTGGCAAAAATATATCTTTTGGTGTGCCACAGAATTTTAGTAATTAGTTTATATGTGCCAAGAGATGAGAAACGTTGAAAATCGCTGCTCTAGCCCTGGCCGGTTTGGCTCAGCGGTTGGAGCGTCGGCCTGCGGTTCAGAAAACCGCTGCTCTAGGGATGGGCGGTTCATTTCTCTGGTGCGCGCACCCTTTCTTCCTCCACCGCTAACTCTCTCGGGGCCTGGGTGTGTTTTCATTGAAATGTAGTCCTCCTGGGCGTCGTTGAGAAGCAGCTTCAGAATGAAGTGTTTCAGGCCGAGATGGAGCGCAAGCTGGCCCAGCTGCTGAGCGAGGTTTCCACGAGAAGGCGGGTGTGGAGAAGGGCCACCGTGGCCGCCGGCAACAGCGTGGTGCAGGTGAGGAGGCCGGAGAGGAGGGAAGGAGAGAGCGCAGTCTGCAACCCCGCCGGGTGTTCATGCAAATGCAAATGCCCCAGCAAGATTCTGAGTTAGACGGATTCTGTCTTAGGTGGCAGCTGCATGTGACAGTTTCCGTGCCACTCAAGTCTAGACAAATACTTCCCCGGCCCCCAGTAAGTGGTCGGCACAGGGATGCCCCTTGTGGGGAGCACAGCAGAAGGATCGAGTCAGCGGGTTGCCATGCCATCGAATGACCTTCTTTTTCAAAAAATAATTTCGTAACACCCAAAGCGGAGTCCATTGCGGAATGTTACTCGTAGCACCAGAGAGAGAAACCGTTCAGCTGGACGAGACCTGACGAGATGAGAGGGAGGAAAATATTCTGCCCTGGGTTCTGGCGCCTCATCCTGCCCGCCTCCTGCCACCTCTGGTTGTCTCATGTCACCTGAAATGTTCTTCACCCTATAGGCAGAAAAGTTACAAATGACAGTTCCATTTGGATTGAAAAGTGACCCATTTCAAAGTGCACAGGCTCACGGCGACGTGGAGGTTGGGGCTGTGGTTTGTTCCCATCTTCATGGGTATTAGCGTTGTTTCGTTTTTTTCCTTGATCAGCTGCTGGCTTGCAGAGCAGGGCATTCCCGAGGCAGGAAGCCACGGGGCAGCCCCGCAGCGCAGGGGCGGGGAAGGGGGGGAGGAGGGGCCTTAGGGAGAAGGAGGCAGAACTGATGCTGGGGGGGGGGGGGCGTGTGGCAGGTGGCCTCGCACTGGCATCATGGCCCCCCAGCTCTTTTACCTGGTTTCCCCTGTAAGCATTGCTTTTAGATCCCCTCTCACTGGGGTGGTGGTTAGGTTTCTGAAACAGGTCCTTTGCCAGATGCACTAGAATATAGAGACATTTTTAAACTAATGAAAAATTGAGAGTGATATGAATAGAAATATAAAGCAAATACATATTTATATGACTATGAAACGAATAAAAATGAAGATGAATTCTGAAAGTTTGGCTGTGTTCAGTAACCCTGGCTTCACAGAACTCGAGGTTTAGGTGGAGGTTAATCACACGGAACAGTGATAAAGCACCTGAAGATGACATAAGGAGGTGCCGGATTAGCTGGGCATCTCCCTGAGGAGGAATATTGGATTTGTGAATGTTAACCAAGTCACCCCACGGTCATGGTGCCATCTGATGGGTTGCTTAGAAACGGTGCCCTGCTTCTCACCTGCATGGGAGACAAGGACTCGTGCAGGGCACAGGACCCTTCAGCGTCATCTGTGGAAATATGGAAACAGTCCAGATGTCCCGCAGGTGGGGGATGGCTAAGTACATGGTTGTGAATCTCTGTATGTTGGAATATTGTGCAGCTGTTGTCATGTTTTAAAATTAGTGTGCGATACAGAAACATCTTCAAGGGTGAAGAAATGCTGTAAAAGAATGATGTGCAATATAATTTAAATATTAATGTAAAACTCATGAAAAGATTAATGGCAGGAAGTGTGCCAAAATATTTACAGTGATTGTCTTGGATTGGTTGAATTTGAGGTTATATATTTAACTTTGTGCTTTTTTTTTTTTTTTGGTTACTCCTCACCTGAGGATATTTTTTCCATTGAGTTTTAGAGAGTGGAAGGGATGGAGGGAAGGGGTGAGAGAGAGAGAGACTGATGTGAGAGAGACATATTGCCTCCTGCACACTCCCTGACGGGCTTAGTATTGAACCTGTAACCCAGGTACATGCCTTTGACTGGGAATCAAACCTGAGACCCTTTGGTACTTGGGCCAACACTCTAACCACTGAGTCACACTGCCCAGGGTTTTTTGTGCTTTCAAAATTTCTCCAGTGAACATGTAATTTCTATAGTGAAGATGTCATTTTATTTTTAATAGTTTTTTAAAATTGATTTTAGAGAGAGAGGAAGGGAGAGGGAAAGAGAGATAGAAACATCAGTGAGAGAGAATATCAATTGGCCACCTCCTGCATGCCCCCCACTGGGGATTGGGTCACAACCTGGGCATGTGCCCTGACCAGGAATCGAACCGGCGACCTCTTAGTGTGTGGGTCGACGCTCAACCACTGAGCCACATTGACTAGGCTGAACACATGGTCACATGGATTCCAGATATGAGCCTGATCGGAAGTCACCCTGCAAGGATGCTGGAATTAGATTTCACTGACTGCTATTTTCAGATCAGAGAAGCTTGTAGAATCTTTAATGAAGGTGGGTATCACTGGAAATTGGAAAGATGGTTTCTGCAAGGAGAAACCATTTCTAAAATGTATCAGAACATTTCAGCGGAATAAATATAGGTAGAGGGACATGAGGGTGTGATCAACGTGCTTTTTAGTGGCCTTTTTTAGTATTCATTCTAAAGGCTAATAAAAAATTAGTGCTGCAGCGCTCCAGGGGAGGGATAGGTGATTAGGGAGCAGAAATGGTCAGGGAACTGGCCTGGGAATACCAAAGAGCAGGCCAGATGAGCCCGTCAGAGGAGAGAGAGGTATAAAGAGCAGTTTCCAGGGATGAGGGTTTGGACCTGCGTCGTTAACGATCTTCACGTGTGATCTGGAAGCGGGTGTTTGCAGTGAAGTCATGAAGTTGTTGGTTTGCCAGAGGTGTCCAGCGGTGAAGAAGTCCAGCAGCCACGTCTGGAGCACGGAGCAGCCCTGTGCACGTGGCCAGGAAAGTGGCAGCGCTTTTGCCAGTGGCAGTGGTAAAGACCGAGGTTCAAACTGCGTGTATAAAAGCGAGGGCTCCGAGTCTCTGTTGATCATCGACTCGCAGCATCAGCCATCGCTCTGCTGGAGTTTGAAGGGGCAATAAAATTGTTGCATATTAATAAGAGAAATAGCAACAGAATAGAAAGCTTTTTTGTTTGTTTGTTTAATCCTCACCCGAGGATATTTTTCTATTTATTATCACATAGAGTAGGAGGAGGGAGGAAGAGAGAGGGAGACAGAGAAACATCGACGTGAGAGAGACATCAATTGCTGCCTCCCGCATGACCCAACAAGGGCCGGGGATGAACCACCACCGAGGTACGTGCCCTTGACCAGAATTGAACTCGCGACTCATTGGTCCACAGGCCGACGCTCTAACCGCTGAGCCAAACCGGCGAGGGCTAGAAAGCTATTTTTATGTTAAACTGTGATGTATCAAATGTACTAGGTTCTGAAGTACTAATGTCAAGGGCTACCCTGGATACCAGAGTGATACAAATTTTGGAACAAATCAAAGTACTGTTTGATCCAGTAGATTATGAATTTATGAGGATTTTCCCAGCTTGATGGAGATATCATCAACATATGACATTGTGTAAGTTTCAGGTGCGTAATGTGATGATTTGATGTAAGTATACATTGTGAAATGATTACCACAATAAGGTTAGTTAACACACCCACTGCTCACAGTTACGTTTGTGTATGTGTGTGGTGAGAACTTTTAAGATCTATTCTCTTCGCCAGTTTCTAGCATACAGTATAGTATTATTAACTGTATTCACCGTGCTGTATATTAGATCCCCAGACTTATAACTGGAAGTTTGTGCCCTTCAACAATCTTGACCCATTTCCCCACCCCCAGCTTCTGGCAACTACCAGTCTACTCCCTGTTTCTATGAGGTTTTTTTTGGTTTTGTTTTGTTTTTTAATTCCACATATAAGTGAGATCATACAGTATGTGTCTTTGTCTGACTTATCTCATTTAACATATTGCTCTAGAGGTCCATCCATGTAACGAATGGCAAGATTTCCTTCTATTTTTTTTTTTATCCTCACCTGAGGACATTTTTCTATTTTTTGTTCAGATAGAGTGGGAGGGAGAGAATGGAAGAGAGAGAGAGAGAAGCATCGACGTGAAAGGGACACATCAAGTGGCTGCCTCCTGCACAACCCAACCAGGACCAGGGGCAAACTGCAACCGAGGTACCTGCCCTTAGCGGGATCCGAACCTGGGACTCTTTGGACCACAAGCTGACACTAACCGCTGAGCCAAACTGGCCAGGGCAGGATTTTCTTCTATTTTTTTTTTTTTTTGGTACGTACCCCTAGTGGGAACCGAACCCGGGACTCTCTGGTCCGCAGGCTGACGCTCCAACCGCTGAGCCAAAGCAGCCAGGGCTTCCTTCTATTTTTTTTTTTTAATCCTCACCCGAGGACATTTTCCCACCTTGTGTTCAGATAGAGTGGGAGGGAGAGAGAGGAGGAGACAGAGAGAGAAACATCGACATGAAAGGGACACATCGAGTGGCTGCCACCCACACGACCCGGGGACAAACTGCAACCAAGGTACGTGCCCTTAGTGGGAACCGAACCTGGATCTCTCTGGACCGCAGGCCGTTGCTTTAACCGCTGAGCCAAACTGGCCAGGGCTTCCTTCTATTTCTATGGGTGAATATTATTGCTGTGCGTGTGTGTGTGTGTTTTCTTTATCTACTCACCCATAGGCAGACACTTAGGTTGTTTCCATATCTCGGCTATTGTAAACAATGCTGCATTGAACATGGGGGTGCAGATATCTTTGCAAGATAATGAGTTCATTTCCTTTGGATAAGTACCCAGAAGTGTAATTGCTGGATCATCTGGTAGTTCTATTTTTAAGTGTTGGAGGAACCTCCATACTGTTTTCCATAATGACTGTACCAATTTATATTCCCACCAACAGTGCACACGGGTTACCTTTTTACCACATCCTCAGCAGCACTTAGCTCTTGTTTTCTGATATTAGCTATTCTAACAGATGTGAGGAGATATTTCATTGTGGTTTTGATTTGCATTTTTCTGATGATTAAGATGTTGAGCACCTTATCATATGCCTTTTGTATGTCTTCTGTAGAAAAATATCTACTCTAAAATGTCTTTTTTTTTTTGGTGGCTATTGAGATGTATGAATTCCTTGTATATTTTGGATATTAAACCTTTATCAGGTTTATGATTTGCAAGTATTTTCTCACATTTTGTAAGTTGTCTTTTCATTTTTGTTGATTGTTTCTTTTGCTGTGTAGGAACTTTTTAGTTTGACGTAGTTCCACTTGTTTATTTTTGCTTTAGTAGCTTGTGCTGCGAGTCTCATATCCAAAAAATATCTTTGCCAAGACTAGTGTTACGGAGCTCTTTCCCTGTGTTTTCTCCTAGGAGTTTTATGGTTTCAAGTCTTACATGTAAGCCTTTCCATTAAGAACTAATTTTATTCTTTTGCATGTGAATATCCAGTTTTCCCAACACCATTAATCAAAGAGACTCTCTTCTCCATTTGGTATTGTTGGCTCCTTTGTCAGCAGGGGCTTTTGTGGTTCCATATAAGTTTTTGGATTGTTTTCTGTCTGTGAAAAATGCCATTGGAATTTTGATAGGGATTGTATTGAATCTGTAGGTGGCTTTGGATAATATGGACATTTTAACAATATTCTTCTAATTTGTGAACATGAGGTATCTTTTCATTTGTGTCTTATTCAGTCATCAATTTCTTATAATTTTTAGTGTATACATGTTTCACTTCCTTGGTTAAACTTACTCCTAAGTATTTTATTATTTTTAATGCTATTGTGACTGGCACTGTTTTTTATTTATTTCTTTTTCAGATAGTTCCTTGTTAGTTTATAGAAGCATAATTAGTTTCATTGTGTTGATTTTGTATTTAGCAAATTTACGAATTCATTTATTGTAATAGTTTTTTGGTAGAGTTTTTAGGGTGTTTTTTATTTTTTTAATATATAAGATCATGTTATCTGCAAGCAGAGACAATTTTACTTCTTTCTTTCTGATTTGGCTGTCCTTCTTTTTAAAAAATTTCTTCTTTATTGATTTTGCAGAGAGAGAAAGGGGGAGAGAGAGAGAGAGAGAGAGAGATAGAAACATTGATTGGCCGCCTCCTGCATGCCCCTCACTGGGGATCAGGCCCACAACCTGGGCATGTGCCCTGACCAGGTATCGAACCGGCGACCTCTTGGTGCATGGTTCAACACTCAGCCACTAATCCCATTGGCTGGGCTGTCTTTTATTTCTTTTTCTTGCCTGATTGCTGTGGCCAGGACTTCCAATACTATGTTGAATAGGAGTGGTAAGAGTAGGCACCCTTGTCTTGTTCCTGATCTCAGAGGAAAAACTTTCAACCTTTCATCATTAAGTATGATGTTAGCTGTGGGTTTGTCATATGTGGCCTTTACTGTGTTGAGGTATGGTTTTTTAATACTCAGTTTGTTGTGAGTTTTATCGTGAATGAATGTTGAATTTTGTCAAATGTTTTTTCTACTTCTATTGAATGGTCTTAGGATTTTACCTTTCATTTATTAATGTGATGTATCATATTTATTGATTTGCATATGTTGACCCATCCTTGCATCTTAGGAATGAATCCCACTTTATCATGGTGTGTGATCTTTTCAGTGTGCAGTTGAATTTGGTTTGCTAGTGTTTTGTTGATAAATTTTGTATCTGTGTTCATCAGAGATATTGATCTATAATTTACTTTTTTATAGTGTCCTTACCTGGCTTTGGTGTCAGGGTAGTGCTGGTCTCATAAAATGAGTTTGGGATCCATTCCCTCGTCTTCAGTTGTTGGGGAAATTTTAAGAGTTGGTGTTAACTTTTTAAATGTTTGGTAGAAGTTCATCGGTGAAACCCATTTGGTCCTGGGCTTTTCTTTGTTGGGAATTTTTTGATTACTGACTCAGTCTCCTTACTCATTACTGGTCTGTTAAGGTTTTCTATTTATGATACAGTTTTGGTGAGTTATATGGTTCTAGGAATTAATGCATTTCTTCTAGGTTGTCCAATTTGTTGATGTATAATTATTTATAGTAGTCTCTTTTGATTCTGTTTCTGTGGTATCTGTTGTAGTGTCGCCTCTGTCATTATAATTTTGAGAACTCTCACTTTTTCTTGGTTAGTGTAGCTAATTGTTTGTTTGTTAATTTTGTAAAGAACCAACTCTTATTTTGTTAGTCTCTTCTGTTGTTTTCCTGTTCTCCATTTGATTTATTTCTGTTCTAATCTTTATTATTTCCTTCTTTTTGCTAACTTTGGGCTTAGCTTTTTCTTCATTTTTGTATTTGAAATCTTTCTTTTCACTTTGTGTTTACATTTATAGCTATGAACTTTCTTTTTATAGCTGTTTTTGCTGCATCTCATAAGTTTTAGTATGTTGTGTTCCCATTTTCATTTGTTTTAGGATATTTTCTTTTGATTGCTTCTTTGGTCCATCGGTGGTTTCAGGAGTGCTTTGTTTAATTCCCACGTGTTTGTGAAATTTCCAGCGTTCCTCCTGTTATTGATTCTAGTTTCACCCCATTGTGGTCGGAAAAGATACTTGATAAAATTTCTATCTTCTTGAATTTGTTGAAACTATTTTTGTGGCCTAACGTATGGTGTGTTCTAGAAAATGTTCTGTGTACACTTGCGAAGAATGTATTCTGCCATTGGATGGAGTGTTCTGCATGTGTCTCTGAGGTTTATTTGGTCTGTAGTATTGTTCAAATCTATCTCCTTATTGGTTATTTCTCTGAATGATATATTCATTATTGAGGGTGGGGTATGAAAGAATTTATGAGAGTTATTATCCCAAGAGCAGTGATTCTTTTTTTTTTATCCTCACCCGAGGACATTTTTTCATTTTTTTGTTCAGATAGAATGGGAGGGGGAGAGAGAGAGAGAGAGAAACATCAATGTGAAAGGGACACATCGCGTGGCTGTCTCCCACATGACCCAGTCAGGACCGGGAACAAACGGCAACCGAGGTACGTGCCCTTAGCGGAAACCGAACTCGGGTCTCTCCAGTCCGCGGGCTGACACTCTAACCACTGAGCCAAACCGGCCAGGGCAAGAGCAGTGATTCTTAACCAGCGATGATTTTGCCCCCCGCAGGGTACATTTGTCTGGAGACATTCTGCTGTCATGACTGGTGAGGGAGGGCATCTGCTGTTGCTCCTGGCATCTAGCGAGTAGAGGGCGAGAGTACTTCTAAACATCTTACAGTGCTTGGTACAGACCCCCCCATCTAAGAATTATCTGGACCAAAATGGCAATAGTACCAAGTTTGAGAAACCCTGCCCCAGAAGAGCGGAGACAATGCCAGTCGATTCTAGACGTGATTGGATAGAACCACTTACAGTGTACCTCACCTCCATGGTTGATGTTAGGAGGACAGCAGCGTCCTCCTGTGACACACTGGGGCTTCTTGGTAGCAAGTCTAGGTTTTTGGACTTGGCCACCCTATGGTCTGTGTATCCCATTGGCCCCTTTGTCTCAGAGGAGACTTGAGCAATCCAAAGCTCCTTTGTTATTCTGCACAGAGGAACGTTCGTTTTAACTGTCCCTCCTCCCATCAGGAGAGCATCGTGGGGGTTCTGGAACCTGGAATAGTGCGAGGAGCTTATTATGGGGATGGAAATAAATGCTGAATAACACAGTCAATGTTGCGTGCCCAGAGAAAGGGCTTCTGGAAACACAAGCTTCTAAAATGCTAATGGTTTCTGTTATCTTTCAGGTGGTAAATGTGTCCAGGCTCGAGGGAGATGACAATCCTGTGCAGCTCATCTACTTTGTGGAGGATCAAGATGGAGAAAGACTTAGTGCAGCCAAGTCTTCAGATCTGATTAACAAGATCGACATCCAGAGAGCTGCCATTATCTTGGGTTACCGAATTCAAGGCGCTGTTGCCCAGCGTAAGTACCCGAGGCGTGTCCCCTCAGTAGTCCTCTGTGCTGTGCCGGGATCAAAGGCCAGTCTTTCTGAAAATGAACTCTGAATTTGTTGTTGCTGTTGTTAATCCTCGCCCAAGGATATTTTTCCATGGATTTATTTTATTTTTTATCCTCACCCGAGGACATTTTTGCATTTGTCTTCAGATAGAGCGGGAGGAAGAGAGAGAGAAACATCGATGTGAGAGAGACACATTGACTGGTTGCCACCCACACGACCCCAACCCAGGCTGGGGACCAACTGCAACTGAGGTATGTGCCTTTAGCGGGAACTGAACCCAGGACTCTCCCGTCTGCTGAGCCAAACCGGCAGGGCTTCCATTGATTTTTAGATAGAATGGGGGGTGCGGGGGAGAGAGAGAGAGGTGAAAGAGACACATCGTTTGGTTGCCTCTCGCACGACTCCAACTGGGCTGGGGATCGAACCCTCAACCCAGGTACATGCCCTTGACTGGGAATCAGACTTGTGATCCTTCAGTCCAAGGGCCGATGCTTTAACTGCTGAGCCAATCAGCCAGGGCTGAACTCTGAATTTAAAGAATTCTTTTTTTTTTTTAATATTAGAGAGAGAGGACGGGAGAGGGAGAGTGAGAGATAGAAACATTGATGAGAGAGAACATCGATTGGCTGCCTCCTGCAGGCCCCCCACTGGGGTTTGGGCCCACAACCTGGGCGTGTGCCCTGACCGGGAATTGCACCCGCAACCTCTTGGTGCATGGGACAATGCTCAACTACCGGCTGGGCTAAAGCATTTTTATGTGGGTATAGTAGATGGATGTCTTGCACCCATATTATTAAGTGGCACTTACATAAGATGTCAGTTGTTAAAATTTCTTTAAAAAGACCTTCTTTATGTCAGTTACTTTGGTTATGACCAATTGCTTTGGTTATTTTTCCTCCTAGTATTTTGTATTCATAGCATTCTAGTGAATTGTAGTAGCTTAAGTTCACTTCAATATATTTCCCCCTACTCCTGTCCTAGGTCTCTTTTTAAAAAATTTGTCTTGGGTACAAGAACGTGTTTTCTCTGTATTTATTCCAGAATCTTGTATGTCATATTTTGAACGTTGGTGGGGACAGTGAGTCACGCAGGAAGCTGGGAGGTGCCCTCTGCGTTTATTGGCTTCCTTCTGGGTCTCGTAACACAAAGGAGTCCTTGATCCTTCGCCCTCTTCAAGCCGGTGTCTCTCCCACCTTAGCCTCCCACCACTCCATGATTTAGAAAGAGGCATTTTGAAATTATTTCCTTATTATTTTTGGAAGATACCAGGCCTCTGTCCCCCTGGCAAGGGCTGCTTGCAGTGCCTTTTTTCCAGCTCACGGATTTTGGGTATTTAGAATTAAGGAGTGGCGCGGAAGAGTGTATTTCTCTAAATATACCTTTATGAATCAGACTGCTATTTTAATGTGAGTGTTTTTCCTTTATGATCCTGAGAGCAGTCCTTGTAAAAGCTCAGCAGTCCTTGCTCCTCGCGATAAAGGGTAAGTAAATGTCGAGAAGGAATTCAGCGTCAGGGAGCATCCGAAAACTCTCGAGAGCAATACGTAGGAGACAGAGGCAGTTTTTAAAATTGACAGCTTCGAAGTTATCCTCGGCAGTGGAAGATTCCTCGTGAAATCTGTACTTGTCCCTGGAAACGAACCAGGGTAAGGGCTAATGTGCACACTCTCTCCATTTTATAGAAGGTGACGGGAGATTTGAAGCAAACAGCCATCGGTGATGTGTGTATTTGAGAGATGATTGCATATTGGTGTGCTCTGTTTCAAAGCAGGGAGAGAATAAAGCACATACATACTCTTTTTCATATATGAACATTCCTGGTTGTTGGAGACGGGCCCCACTCCAGATAAACACGTCACCTTTTATTTTTTTATCCTCACCCCAGGACATTCCTGCATTTATCTTAAGATAAAGCGGGAGGGAGACATGGAGGAAGAGAGAGAGAGAAACATTGATGTGAGAGAGACACATTGACTGGCTGCCACCCACATGACCCCAACTGGGGCCGGGGACAAACTGCAACCGAAGTTCGTGCCCTTAGCGGGAACCGAACCTGGGACATACTAGTCTGCAGGCCAGTGGTCTAACCACTGGGCAACACCGGCCAGGGCAACACGTCACCTTTTAAAAAGATGAATTGGCCCTGGCTGGTTTGGCTCAGCGGTTAGAGCGTCGGCCCGCAGACCAAAGAATCTCAGGTTCTATTCTGGTCAAGGGCACGTACCACGGTTGCGGTTCTTCCCGGCCCTGTGTGGGAGGCAACCAGTTGATGTGTCCCTCTCACATCGATGTTTCTTTCTCTCTCTCTCCCTGTATCTGAAGATAGATGGAAAAATATCCTTGGGTGAGGATAAAAAAAAAGATGAATTGCACTAGGGTTCGGGCACCTCTCAAGCCCACTTCCATCTGCTCTTTGCACCTCTCTTTCCTCTGGCTCTTGCTAACAGCCACAGGGTAACAGTCCTGGGGCTGGAAGCCCTCGCCAACACCAGGGCCAGCTCGAGGCACTGTGGGCCCTGGTGTCAGGGCCTCGCTTTGACCAAGTGTGCCTCTCACAGGGTTTCACCCGGTGGGAACCAAGAAGAGCAGCCAGTTGTCCCGCCCCTCAGTGCGATTCTATTCCTCTTTCCATATTGTTAGTTGTTTTCATGCAAAATGAGCTATATTTAGGCCAAATTTAAAAATATAAATTTTGTGCCCAGCTGGAGTGGCTCAGTGGTTGAGCATCGACCCATGCACCCAGAGGCCACCGGTTCAATTCCCGGTCAGAGCACATGCCCAGGGTGTGGGCTCCATCCCCAGTAGGGGCGTGCAGGAGGCAGCCGCTGGATGTTTCTCTTTCATCGATGTTTCTATCTCTCCCCCTCTGCCCTCCTCTCTACCTAAAAGAAAAAAAGTCAATAAAAATGTATTTATAAAATAAATAAGTAAAAATATAAACTTTTCCACTGTTACCGTTTCCGTTTCCCACATGGCCTCTGCCCTGTGGTCCGGGCCTCTCATAGCCTGTGAGCTGTGGGCGCTGGCTCCCCTCCCCCGCCACTCTGTCCGGGGCCTCAACCCAAACTTGAGGCGGCACCGAGACTCGTTCCTGACGTTCCATCTTTGAGCAGCTGCGTTTCGGTCCCATAGCACGTGTTAACCGTTACAGGCTGCCAGAAGGGCGTGAAGCGTAGTCCCTGCGCGCGAAGACTGAGACGTGTTTGGAAAGAGACCGAGAGCCGTGACTGTACTAACGAGCGAGGGGGTCTGGTGTATCCGTGGGATACATTTAGGTAACAAAATGCACCTGAAAAGAGATAGTAAGGTATGGCCTGCAAGACAAAGACAGCCAGAACGCAAGACAGAGGAGCTTTAGGAAGAGCCGAGTCCTCTGAGGGGATGAGTATGGAGTGAGGGGGCGAGGGCCCAGTACTGGGGGGCAGGGTTAGGCGAAGGGGCTGGTGAAGGAAATGAAGAAGGACAGAGCAATTGAACCATCATCGTCCAAGGCCATGGAAGATGGGGGCCGGGGTGGGGAGTGGCGGATTCCAAGTAAGTTTGACTTAATGGGATTTTATTTTACTTTATTATTTTTTTAAAAAATGAGCTCTGGCCAGTTTTACTAAAGAACAGTTTTGCATGATTTACTTTTCAGCGGTCTGCTCTGGCAGGCGTCTAGTGCTATCAGAACCACCTGGGTCGATGATAGCGCGTGTGCGCACACCAGTATTTTCCACACGCTGTGCCCGAGCCCGGCTCCTTGCCACTGCAGCGATGGGCCCCAGGCCTGGCCAGCGTGGTGTAGTCGTCAGTTTCACTTTTTCTCGGGGCTGGACAGTTGCTGGCGAGGATGACCAGTTTCGCTTTGCCTTGTGTGATTGTTTTCAGAGTCTGCTTGTACCCCAGCACGTACTTTCCACTTTCCATGACAAGTTGGAGCTTAGAGTTGATCAACTCCAGTGACTTTTTTGTTGTCTTCGCGGCCACCATCTTCCTGCCTCAGGTGCCGGATGGCCCCCAACCGAGAAGCAGCCGCCAAGATCCCTGGGTGCTCGAAAGGAAAGGAATCATAGGGTTTTAAAATTGATAAGCGGGTACCTTAAGTAAGGCAGTTTTGATTAAAAGCCATGTTTCAGGGGTTCGGGAGACACAGGAGAGGAGGCAAAGGCAGTGCTCATGGCTGCATTCCGGATTTCTGGTTTTGGGTATGGAAGCACTCCTGCTGTGGGAATTGAGGGTGAGCTTGTAGAAGAAGCGGGAAGTCGGGAGACCTGGAATTAACCTCGCTTTGCGTTCGAATTAGCCATGTCCCCTTAGACACATTATATCTGTCACTGTGATCCCTACTGTCTTCTCGACGTAACCTCTGCATTGTGTTGGTTTACTTGGTCGTTTTTCCCCATCATCAGGAGAGCATAGCCTCTAACCAGCTGTCTCGAGCTGGAATAACAGAAACTTCCCAGGTTTCCCAGAGAAGACACGTTCACTGCCCAGAAGGGCTGTCCAGGGAAGGAGTTACCGAAGGGCCTTTCTTCCTTGTTTGCAGCCATGGACATGGTGAAGAGGCCATCGCCAGAGTCCCAGAGCAGCAACCTCTGGGTCATCGTCGGCGTGGTCATTCCCGTGCTAGTGGTGACGGTGATCGTCGTCATCCTCTACTGGAAACTCTGCCGCACAGACAAGCTGGACTTCCAGCCTGACACCGTGGCCAACATTCAGCAGCGTCAGAAGGTAAGGGGCAGATCCGGCGTGCGTACGCGTGTCCTGCAGGCAGGGACGGGGAGCGCAGGCTCCTGATACTGAAGGAGAACTACTAGGGGAATCTTTCGTTATTGACAGTGGTGTCCCTTTGCCTTCATGTCTGCTCGCTGAGACCCCAGTTCCACTGTAGTATTAACTATATGCCAAGAAGATGACGCTGTAGAAAGGCTTAGCCATGCCGTTGAGAACCTCTGAGGTCCTCTGTGGTTTTATTTTCGAGACCATCAGCTAGAAGATCGCGTCTATTCTGGGTATGAGCTCCGATCTGTTTTAACCCTGAATATCTTCAGAGAACAGGAGCGAAGGGAGATTTTTCTCAGATCTGTGTGTCTTTGTCTTTCATACACCACTTCACGGAATGGCTCCTTTATTTTCCATCCGCCTGTTGCAAACCCACCTACCCACTTTGATCGAGACCACTTGATCATGAAAGAATAGTAATCCGTGCCATAAACATTTTAACTTAAAATATATGAAAAGGGCCCTGGCCGGTTTGGCTCAGCAGTTAGAGTGTTGGCCTGCGGACCAGTGAGTCGTGGGTTCGATTCCAGTCAAGGGCGCACGTATCTCGGTTGTGGTTCATCCCCCAGTCCTGGTTGGGTCGTGCGGGAGGCAACCAGTCCATGTGTCTCTCTCATGTTGATATTTCTCTCTCTCTCTCTTTCCCCCTCCCTCCCTTCCACTCTGTCTGATGATAAATGGAAAAATAACCTTGGGTGAAGATTAAAATAATAATAATGTATGAAAAGGTAATTTGGTTGCCAGTCTTTAAACATACCTCATCTTTTTATTTGGGTACTGAGAGGAATTCCCTATGGTCTTTCTTATAATAAATACCCATGATGCATCAGTTCAGTCTCCAGTTAGGGTTTCTTTTTATCCTCACCCGAGGATATTTTTCCATTTTTTGTACAGATAGAGTGGGAGGGAGAGAGAGAGAGAGAGAAACATCGACGTGAAGGGACACATCGAGTGGCTGCCACCCGCACGACCAACCAGGGCCAGGGACAAACTGCAACCGAAGTACGTGCCCTTAGCGGGAACCGAACCTGGGTCTCTCCGGACCGCAGGCCGACGCTCTAACCGCTGAGCCAAACTGGCCAGGGCCAGTTAGGGTTTCTTTACAGAAGCGCAAAGCAACCTGAATGCAAAAGTCTCCAGGTTTTTAATACTCCCCCACCCCGCCCTGTTCTGCAACCTTAAAGTTAACTCACCTCCTCCTAATTTGACAGTAGTGTTTTAACAGCCCCTTGTCTATGTCTTGCTAAAGCATTCAATTTAGCTTTTTATTTTTTATTTTTTATGTAGAGTGAAAAGGAGGAAGGGAGGGAGGGAGAGAGAGAAACATTGACATAAGAGAGACACATCGATTGGCTGCCTCCTGCACTACCCTAGCCAGGGCCAGGGACCAAGCTGCAACCGAGGTATATGCCCTTGACCGGAATCGAACCTGCAACTCTTTGGTCTGCAGACCGATGCTCTAACGGCTGAGCCAACCGGCCAGGGTCAATTTAGTTTTTATAGTGATAGCAATTCTCTTCTCACATGTTTCAGCAGTTTCTGCTATATTTATTTGTCATATGCAAGTTTCAGAGCAAAGATATTGGCTCTTGGTGAATATCTAGTTCACCTGGCGTGAGCAAAAACATGCCAACGGCCAGCAAACTCCCTGCCTGCCAACATGTAGCCTAGCGTGAGACAGCCGTTACCCAGGCGATGGGAAGGGGTCATGAATCTGCTACATTTATTCACATGTAACCTCTATGGGTCTCAAAAATCGACGCCCTGGCCGGTTTGGCTCAGTGGTTGGAGCGTCAGCCCATGGACCGGAGAGACCCAGGTTTGGTTCCTGCTAAGGGCATGTACCTCGGTTGCAGTTTGTCTCCAGCCCGGTTGGGGTCTTGCGGGTGACAACCACTTGATGTGTCTCTCTCATGTCGATGTTTCTCTCTGTCTCTTCCTCCCTCTCTCCCTCCTGCTATATCTGGAGATAAATGCAAAAATGTCCTCAGGTAAGGATAAAAAAACAAAAAACAAACAAAATAAGTGAGAGGATTCACTGAACTCTAAAAGTTGGATAAGAAAAAGCACATAAGAAATAAAGAATTGCCTGATTCACCTTTGAATTTTATTCTGATTGTGTGAGGATAAAACGTTCTGTGCATCCCAAACCAAGACCTGCTAAATGAAAAAAAATTATTGTTTTCCAGCATATTTCACTTTTGTAAAGGTAAATGAAGAGTATTCTCTCTTATGAATTTACTAAGAAGTGCAAAATCTTGATTAATTTATAAGCATATGGTCATCAAGTATATTGGAAGCATTTTATTCGTTCGTATTATATTCATTATGGGACCTCATTTATTATTTACCTCATCTGCCAAGGTTGTTTAGTTGTTAGACTAATGAATGGCACAGAAAAAACCTGGAAAAAAAGTACTTGCTATTCTCAATAATTCAGAGCGTGGGTTTCATTGTGACGAGATCAGCAATAGATTTGGAAATGTTTTTGTTCTGGTGTAAGAGTGCAGTTTCAGAGAGATGTAACCAGTAGAGATGGTGATGTATTTAGGTCTTAGGTTTCTAATGTAAACACTCATAGTGGGCGCCCGTCCATTATCTGTTACTTCAAGGAGCCGTCTGAGGACAGCGCCTCTGGAGTTCAGAACAGGAGCGTCCCCAAGCTTTCTCCTTCTCCCGTTTTCGCTTCCGAAGTATTGTCACATCCCAGGTGTGGCTACACGTACATCACACAGGCCGTTTCAGATGGAACCTCCAGCCTCTGGAGTTGCTCAGACATTTTTCCAGCACGTTAGCAGGAAAGGTCTTCTGCATGGAGCTAACCTGAGAGATGGTGTCTTGGTTGGGGGCTGGTACCTCCCCGACGTTTCCCGGGCTTTGTTTTGCTGGCTCAGAAACCCACCGGCTAGATCTTGTCAGGTGTTTGCAGTAGGAAAATACTGATCTCCGCCAGGTTGAAAACAAATTTCTCTGCTTCGTAAACACTTCTTCTGAGATTATCTGGCAATAGCCAAGGGCCTCTTGCCTGTTTCTTGGGGACAGTTGGAGAAGATGCTGTCTTCCCGGTGACTGCAGGAGTTCCTCTTCCTTTTTCGGGTGCCTTTCTGTTTTCTCTCTCTGTGCTGCTCACCCCACCCCTGACGCTGCGTCTCTGCTCCTCTCTGAAATCCTGTAGCAAATCCCAGAGCTATGAACATCTGGAAACAATAAATCTGGTGACCAAAAATCCACACCCCCTTCCCCTATAACGGGAAGGAAACCTCTTCAGATTGTCTGGGAGTCGATTAGTTTTGAAATATGATAAGAGGGAGAGGCCCTTCTGTCATCTTTTGAAGCAGGGTCCTTTTTAAATTTCTAATAATAAAGAAAAAAAAAAACACCCCAACCTGTGTCTTTTTATCTGTAGTCTCTTTAATCTGTAGTCCAAAGTCATCACTTGTCACTGTTCCCCCCCAAAAAACCTCCAGCTTAGACCTGCCTCGCCCTGCAGAGGTTCTATTTAAAGATGCAAATGGCGCCCAGCCTGTGTGGCTCAGTGTATTGAGCGCTGTCCCATGGACTGAGAGATCCCGGTTCAATTCTCAGTCAGGGCACCTGCGCGGATTGCAGGCTCGATCCCCAGCAGGGGGCGTGCAGGAGGCAGCTAATTGATGTCTCTCACTCACATCTCTCTCTCTCTTTCTTTCTCTCTCAAAAAAATCAATAAAAACATATTTTTTAAAAAGAAAAGATGTGAATGGCATGGGCTACCTGCTGCTGGTCCCACAGGAACTTGGGTCTTCTTTTGGGGACGGTCTGCACCTGCTGTTGGCACAGGACCGTAGTTTCTGACCGGGTGGCGTCGTAGGCAGCAGGGGGAGCTGTCTCAGACACGGTGGTGCGCTCATGGCAGGGAGCGAGTGCTGGGAGCCAAGCAGGGCCAGGCAGCAGGCAGCCCTGCCTTCGAGGGCTCTGTGCTGAGGACAGACCCTCCGCAGGCCGACACACCGTCACCGTGTAGGTCTGTCTAGGGTGCTGCAGGAGCACCGAGGGGCCGCCACCCCACTCTTGGTGACCGGTGGCCTCTGCCTTCTGAGAGGTGATGCGGGGCTGATGTGCAGACTGAGGTGAAGCCAGGTGGAGCGGGCCCAGGCGGAGGGAGGGCACGGAGCTCGAGGAGGCTGAACGAAGGCTGGAAGGCAGGCAGAGCCAGGCTCGGGTGGTTTACAGGACATGTAAGGGGTAGGCAGTGGGGACCGAAGGGTTTGCAGCAGGGAGGGTAGTTGGAGCATCAGTCTGTTGGGGACGGTCACGTCGGGGGCGGTGTGACCAGTGCATTGAAGAGAAGCTCAGCTGAGTTCAGCTTGTCCCCGTGGTTGCTCTTTGATTCTCTGCCAGAATCTCGTGACGCCTCAGGTGTGGGTGGTTCCAGCTCACCTGCCGCCAGGGGACCGGGACCTGCTGTGCCTGGGGGCGGGGGAATCTGGGAGTACTGCTGTTCCAGACAGAGACCTCAGGGTGGCCGGGACCCCATGCTGGGCCGTGGCAGAGACACACGTGTGGTGATAGCTCTACCTGGTCTTCACTGCTGTGGACATACTGTGGTGGTCCTGGAATGTGCACAGGTCACGGCCCTCCAGCTAAACCCTTACACAGTGGCGTTCTCTCCGGGGTCGCAGATTTCCCCGTGGAAACGGCTAGGGTTTGCTCCGGGTTTCTTCACTCATCTTAGTGCTGCCACCGGCTGTCCGGGCTCACCGAGTACTGGGGGCTTCACTCTGTCCCGTTCCCTCTGGGCCGTGTTATAGTTACGGCTCATATGTTTCCAGATTCGTCAGGTGTGTTTCCGATTACTTGGCTGACCTGCTCCACCAGGCCTCCCGGACTTGTGGGTGACATTCTGGTAGGGTACTGACCCTGGGTTCTGAGCCCTTTGTGACATAGTAAAGGAAGAAGGGACACCCTTCTTCGGAAGTAACTGACCCCAATATGGATATTCAGGCACTAATTAATCGCTACTCTCGTTTTATAAAATACAGATTCAGGTTTATTCTGCATGTGGAAGCTGGAGACACAATGCAGCCAGACTTACTTGGAGATTTTTTTAGAGAGAGAGAGAGAGAGAGAGAGAGAAACAAACTAGAAAAAGTGTACCAGAAACTGTGATGAAACAAAAGTAATTAATTCCATCAGTGTGTGTGTGGGGTAGGCAGTGATTCCTCTCGTTTTTTCCTTCTGTGTGTAAATGGCTTTTGTTTGGGGCATAAGCACAGATTCATGGCCAAATATCTGTTACAGAAGGTGGTGACTCACCCAGCCGGTGAGAAGTGGAAGGATCTAGTGGGCATATTTAGGGCTGTCGGAATCAACAAGAAGCCAGCAGGACTCCAAGGCCAAGATGCATGTATATTTCATTTATGACATACACCCTTTCCGTGATTCCCCACAAAATCCAGTAAGCTTGATGCTTCAACTGACCTTTTTGAAATTCATTCGGTCATCAGCTGTTTTTTGAGGGTGCACTATGTGTCACATCCTGTTGCCGAATTTATAGAATTTCTATGAATTTCTATCTATAGCTTTATCTGATGCCCAAGAACTCTTCGCTGACTGTGTATATTAACTGCTGGATGTTCACCAACTAAGAGCAATAAAAATACTGCCAGTCTCATTTGTAAGGTACTAGGGCATTTGTGAAGCATTTTAACACGCGCACATATTTGGTGGTTACGGGAGCCCTGAGAGTTGGTCAGGGAAGGCCTTTAGTTCCTAGACTCGGGGCACACAGGCTGGGCCTTAGAGACAGTGTAGCTTGTGTTTTTCCCTCCTTCACTTTGGAGACCTGTGCTTAGAGGATGTCTCCAGTCTGTGGCTCTTCCTTCAATTTTGCAAAGCAAAACCATCTACCTGGCAAAAGAGAGCATTTCCCAGTCCTTAGAAGGCCTTTACTTTCTTACTGGGAAATAAACCAAAGAGGGTTTTACCAGGATTGATACGGTGATGTTGATGGTGATGATTAGGTGACTATTGATTATAACGTATGCTTTCACATAGAGGCTGAAATGAGGTGCCGCTGGGTGAGAGGTGCGCCCCTCTCCTGTAAAGTAGAAGGTCTCTTAGGAATGGAGGCAGAACGGGGCCAGCGTGTGCCTAGACCACTGGCACACTCAGAGAATTCACACTTAGGTGACAGCATATACAGAGGTTGTCCCTCTGGAATCTGATGCCCTGCAGAGGGCTGGATGCCCCTAGGAAAGAGTGTACCCACAGGGATTTGGGGGACCCCGTTGAAGGTCACTGTACTAATCCAGTCTCATGAATGAGGAAATCAATTTATCCTGCTTGGGTCGGGGGTGGGGTAGCAGGGAGGGGCAGGTTCATTGTTTCGAAAATGCTAGTCGCTATTCCTGACCCAGGGGGTGTGTGCCACTCACAGACCACCTGTGCGGTGGAGTAGCCTGCCCTTGAAACACAGTATCATTGATTTAGAATAGATATAGGCAGGCCGGTCTTGGCCTTTTGTTTCCAAGCAACATCTTTGTAAACTGTATTTACAGTAAGTTTTGTCTCCCTCTGCTGGCCCAAGTCATGATTGCAGACTACTCCTCTGCCCCAATAATCATAGCTTTTTAGGGCTAAAAAGACGTTAGAGATGACAAATCTAAGCTGTTGTTAGTCATCTGTGCATAAAGGTAGTGCAAATATGACCTTTTGCTTCTACATAGTCTCTTGTCTAAAATAACTCTTTGGATGGGCTTGCCTGTGTCTTTTGTTTGTTTGTTAATCCTCACCTGAGCATATTTTTCCATTGATTTTTTGGATTGAGTGGAAGGGAGGGAGGGAGGGTGAGAGAAAGAGAAACATTGATGTGAGAGAGAGATCAATTGGATACCTCCCACACGACCCAAACCGGGGCCGGCGATAGAACCTGCAGCCCAGGTATGTGCCCTTGACCAAGAATCAAACCCACAACCATTCTGTCCACAGGCTGGTGCTCTAACCGCTGAGCCAAACCGGCCAGGGCTGCCTGTGTCTTTGGACTGACAGGACCATCTGTAGGTGTGGGACCAGCCTGGCTAGGAAGGCTCCGGCTTGCACGTGGCCCTCCTGCTGACCACAAGGAGACCCTTGAGACAGCTCTCCATGTGCAGTTTATCTTCCTCTGCTCTGCAAGCTCGGATTAAGGCATCTTTGAAAGCCCATCCTTGGCACTTGCAGTGTCATCCAAGGTGGTGTCCCGCCTTTACTGTCTGTGCGTGCGTGCACCTCCAGCACCTCTCCTGTCTTAGCACAGGCCGGAATCTGAGGCCCACACTCTGGTTGCAGGCTCGTGGGGTCTTGGTGGTGGGTTTGAGTTGGTACCTCGCACCCCCACATAGGTCCCCTGCGTCTGCCAGTGTGACAGGTAGGCTTTTTCGAAGACCCCTTTCTCCTTCATCCCTGTGCCCCGATTACTTCTGCCGGCCTCTCCTTTCTAGAAATTCGTTATTCCCTGACCCTCTATGACATTGAACGGTCCAAATTCTTCCACTTTTTTTGAAGTCGGCTTCTATTTTTTTCCTGGTTTCCTTTTTCTCTGTGAGTTCCCAAACTGTTAGATGTCCTCCACCATTTTATTCTTAGACTGTTTTCATCTTTAAAAAATGTCATCCCCCCCCCCGTCACCTTCCAGACAGATGCTCTCAAAGTCACATCTCCAGCCCGAAAGCGTCCCCAGACTTTTGTTCTCCGACTCCAGCTGCCCAGAGCTGCATTCCTTTGGAGCTTCTTGGCCATTTCGACCTAAGCATGGTTAAAGCACGGCCCGCCTTTTTATTTCCTCGAGTCATCGTTCCTTCATGATTCCCCTCGTCCCCTCGGTGTCCCTGCTCCTGCTCGGTCTGCCCTGCTGGTCACCGCCGGGTCTGCCTCTCCTGCGCCTCTCACGTCTGCTCGGGGTCCGGGCCGGGCTCCAGCGCTGTCCGTCCCTTCGCGTGGTCTTTGCTGACTTTGGCTCCGGCTCTTGGCATGCCATGCCTGTGGTGTCGTCGGGCCCTCGTCCTGGTCCCGTTGTGTCCTGTCTGCTTGGATTTTAGAAATCTGCCTAGAGGGAAACAATATGGTGTTTCCTCAAAAAATTAGAAATTGATCCGCCATTTGACCCAGTGATCCCACTTCTAGGGATATATCCTGAGAAGCCTGAAACACCAATCAGAAAGGACATACGTACCCCATGTTCATAGCAGCACTATTTACAATAGCTAAGATCTGGAAACAGCCCAAGCGTCCATCAGTAGACGAGTGGATAAAAAAGCTGTGGTACATATACATATTGGAGTACTATGCAGCTGTAAGAAAGAAAGGTTTCTTATCCTTTGAGACGACATGGAGGGAGCTGGAGAGTATTATGCTAAGTGAAACAAGCCAAGCAGAGAAAGACAAATACCACATGATCTCACTTACCTGTGGAATATAATGAACAAAATAAGCTGATGAACAAAATAGACCCAGAGACATAGAAAGGAGTACGGTTTAGACTGACAAACCTCAGAGGGGTGGGGGGATGGGTGAGATAAACCAAAGAACTTATGTGTATGTATGTGTAACCAATGGACATGGACAACAATGCTGGGGGTGGGGAGAATGAGGAGGAGGGTATCTTGAGGGGGAAAAGGAGAAGCATCTGTAACAAAAATAAATTAATAAACATTGAAAGAGAAAAAAAAAGCTGCCTAGAAATATGTAGTGGTTTGCTGCTCTAGAAGCTGGCCATGAGAGCCGTCCACCTACAGGCCGGCTTTCTCTGTCTCCCTGTGTCCTGACCCTGCTAGAGCAGCTAATGAGATCTCCCCCCAGCCTCGGGGTTCTCTGGTCTCTGACACAATCCAGATCACACTCTGTGTCGCCACCTCTCCGTATGTCTCGGTTCTGTCTGTCTGTCCTCCAAGCCCTGGCACCAGGTGGGATATTGTGCTGTGTCACTGTCTCTGGAATTGCATAGCACATGGTGGTGCTACTGGGACAGCGGGTTGGGCATCGTCTTCTGATGCCTTTTGTAGGATGGTCTAGCTACTTAGTCCTTGTGGTGTTTAATTTTTTGCAAGTCCCCACCTTTCCTGCAAACTCGAGGTGTGAACAGCGCCGTGCAAACATTTGACGTTTTAGAGATGCTTGTGGAATTAGGTGGGTGGAGTTGCAGGCTCGACCTTGCGTCGGAAGGTGGCGCTTACAGTCTCGCCAGCCGTCAGGTCTCTCTTCCAGTCCTTAGAGTTCAGACTGACTGTCGCCTGCTGTTTTAGTTGCAGATCCCCAGCGTGAAGGGCTTCGATTTCGCCAAGCAGCACCTGGGGCAGCACAACAAAGACGACATCCTGATCATTCACGAGCCGGCTCCGCTGCCAGGCCCTGTGAAGGACCACACCACGCCCTCCGAGAATGGAGATGTCCCGAGCCCCAAGGCCAAGGTCCCCTCCAAGAACATCCGTCACCGAGGAAGGTTCGTGCTGGGCTTTGTGCAGTGGGCTCTGCCACAGGGCGTGTTTCGTGTTCAGTTGGTCAATTTCCAGTATCAGAAGTCCTGCCCAAGTCCGCGGCCCGGGAGACTGGCCACAGCTTGCCCGGTGGCAGCAAACCCGAGGGGTCTTGAGCCACTGCCATGGACCACCAAAGGAGGCTGTCTGCTTTCTTTCCCCAAAGCATTTAAGATCTGAATCACTGCCCGTCATGGTTTGGTGGTCCCCTTGTGATTTGATTAGGGATTGGCCGGCGCAAGGGTACATGTTCTGGGGTGAGCACGCTCGGCCCTCTGGAAATGATATCAGAAGTAATGTCTGACAGGTGCATAGCACACGGTACACACCCAGTCCTGGTTTGTCCTGGCCCATCGTGCCTTCCCTGCGGTCCACAGGTGACCGTCACAGCTCTCTGTCCTAGCTTGATTTTTTTCTCCAGCTGCCCACGTGGTCGTTGTTGTTAGCTTGTTTGCATGGACCCCTCAGCACCTCCCTGCCCAGGTCCCACCCCCGGTTTATTGCCATCCCCCCTCTCAGAGAACAGCACGTGAGAACTGCTTGTTAGCACGACCTGGAGGTCCCCCATCACCCCCGCTCTGTGAGAAGAGTTACAGCCCTGTTCAAGTTCGGAGTCAGGCTTCGTTACGTTGACACTAGATCATCGCACAGTCAGGCTTTGGCTGTGAAAACCTCCAATGATCAGCCTGCCTTTGAGCTCTATACTCCGAATCCTGATTTTCTGCTAAAAGGAAAAAAGGGTGTGATCGTACCAATAATAGAAATGATGCTCTAATTCCTGACGTCAGAAAACCGGCCCCGAGGAGTTCTGGCCTGGCTTTAAGAATTTAATGGTTGGAAGAACTTGATCTTTACAAAAGAAACTGCATTACAGAGAGAGATGTTATTTGCTTTTTTTTTTTGGTACGTGCCCCAAGCGGAAACTGAACCCGGGACTCTGGTCCACAGGCTGACGCTCCAACTGCTGAGCCAAATATTTGCTTAATTATCTTGCAGGCTCAGCATAAGTTGAACCATTAAGGGTTACTTATTACACTAGAAAATTCTGCAAAGTCTTTTTTTCTTTCCTGTGGCCTTACCCTAAACATTTAGCCACAACATTGCAATGGCCTGTGGTTAATGTAATGTTTTAGTATCCCTCACGGGCACCGGAATGTGTGCGCATGTCACACCGCTGCTTAAGCTGGGAGTGCAAAGGGAAGGGCTAACCGGTCAAGGGTTCTTGCTCACCTGGACCCCTTGGCTTCCACGCTACCCTTGCTCTCTAGATACGGAATCGAGTCTCAGTGGTGATGTAAGTGCAGGCTTCTTCCAAAGACCTGGGGTTCTGTGGGGTGACTACAGAATGCCCCTGGCTCCCAAGAGATTCTGCAGACCCAGGTAACCCCGAACCAGGCCCCAACTCAGGCCAGCGTCGGACCGCCAGGCCAGGCCCTGGTAGCTGGGGGCTGTCCCCTGACCTGGCCCCTGGTGTCCTGGCACTGATGAAATGCAGCAGCCGAGCCATTTCCTAAGCTGTCACGGTCCTCAAGGGGTAACCCAGGGCTCTTCATGTCCTTGACGAAGCAGCAGCATGGAGTGATTTGTCGGATTGCCTCATTTCTGCCGGTCTCTCCTACATCCAGATGGCCGTGACCCCCCCCCCCATTTCCCGATGCTGACGTTTGTTTTGTGTCTGCAGGGTCTCACCGTCGGATGCTGACTCCACCGTGAGCGAAGAGTCCAGTGAGAGGGAAGCAGGAGATAAGACGCCCGGCGCGGCCAATGATGGCAAGTCCCAGCGAGCCCCACACCGCTGTGACTGTCCTCCCTGCAGTCACAGGAGTAGCTACGAGGTTCCAGTAGGCTAGGGTTCGCTAGTCTTCAAATGCTGAACTTAAATCCGTGCAATGAAATACTCCTTATCGTGTGCTGAACGTCTCAGCACTGATGGTCACTGTGTAACACGGTACCGGTGTCTGCGTTGAGGTGGGGTGGGTGGGTGGGGGAAACGGGGGGTGGGAGGCCCGTGCCGGAGTTGGGGATTCACGGAGGTATCGTAGCCACATTCCATTCCAGTTTCGAGTCCCAATGATTGTCCTCCCTGGAAGACGAGGAGGAATCGAACTACAACCACAGTCTCAAAAACGCCCCGGATTCAGTGACCTTCTTAGCATCCAACTCGAGGTTTCACAGCTGTCGCTGTCAGAAAGTTGTGCGTTTGTCACAGGTCCAAGTGCGTTCTGTTGGGTCCTCGATCCTCCTCCTGGCGGGTGGCTCCGTGCGGTCAGTGTTTCAGCATATTCGTGTGTGTGGTCACGTGCGAAATGAACTTCGCTCCCTTTCTAAGCGGTAGTACCGCGAGCTTCATGCCCTGTAAAAGCAACAACAACGCCGGAGCCCACTGGTCTTGCAGCCTGGGGAGCACTCTCTGGCGTGATGACAGGGTAGCTGGGTTTTAGCTGAACAGATTCTGTTAGCAAAGTGTTACTGTAGCTCTTGTATTTGCTGGAGCTTTGGCTGTCTCAGTGATGCAGAGAGAATCGGGGTGCCTCAGATATTATCTTAATTTAATTATCTATTTTTTTGATCCTCACCCGAGGATATTTTTCTATTTATCTTCATACAGAGTGGGAGGGGGAGAGAGGGAGAAAAAGGGAGAGAGAGACAACCATCGACATCAGAGAGACACATCAACTGGTTGCCTCCCGCACGACTCTGACCAGGGCCGGGATTAACTGCAACCGAGGTACGTGCCCTTGACCGGAATCGAACCCACGACTCATTGGTCCACGGGCCAACGCTCTAGCCGCTGAGCCAGACTGGCCAGGGCTTGGACATTGTTATTAATATTAATGTCTATGCTTATAATTTTCATCACAAATTTCTCTGTGTGAAAATGCGGGACAGAGTGAATGGTAGATTCTGGACGGAAGCCAGGGGCCTGTTCTGTTGGTGGCACGCTTGTGACCTTGCAAAGAAGTCCCTTCTTTGGGGTGCCTGTGGGCTAAACAAGCTGATTTCTGATGTCCCTTCCACCTCCTTTCAGGTGTTTCATTTTGATGTTCAAGAAATTCCCCCTCAGAATGAAAGGGAAGAGGTTTTTCCTTTGGATCCAGTTTCACAGAATCTGAGAAATGCCTTAGCACCATGGTAACAGGTGCAGTTTCAGATAGGTAGGATTAAAATCTAATTTTGACCCTGGGAAAGAAATGTCTGAAAAAGCAAATCAGCTCTGGAGTTTCTCAATTTCTTTGCTTACCCGAGAAAGTCTTGCTTTTAGTTCCCGCGATTAACCCCTTACTGATAGGGTTTCAAGTACACTGTGCATGGCTAACGGGCGCCGAGCACATGCCCAGCGTGACTCAGTCCCAGGAGTGAGCATGTCAGTGGGACTGAGAGGTGCCTGTGGGAGGAGACAAGGGGATTATCTGTCCCTCTGGGTAGCAGAAGCTCAGATGTCACTCTTATAATTTGAAGACACACCCGAATCCGTTCCTTATTTCCATGTTTTTGAAAGACAGTTTTATCACTGTAAATATCAATTCACTTTTTTTTTCTCCCTCCCTTGAGGATATTTTTCTACTTGTGATCAGATAGAGTGGGAGGGAGGGGGAGAGAGAGACAGAGAGAAACATCAATGTGATAGAGCACATCAGCTGGTTGCCTCCCGCACGACCTGACCAGGGCTGGGGACGAACTGCAGCCAAGGTGCGTGCCCTTGGCTGGAATCCAACCCGTGACTCATTGGTCCGCAGGCCATGCTCTAACCGCTAAGCCAAACCGGCCAGGGCCCAATTCACTTTTAAAACTTTGTTTACAACCTTGAAGCCATCAAGCTGCCATACGGGTGTTTTATGGCGTGCATAAAACTTAGTTAAATCCCCTATAAAACGACGCTGAGCCTCTAACCATAGCATGTGAATTATTTTGTAATTCACGTAAAAATCCTTCTTTTGTTTCGGTCATGATAAGGTACAAATTACTGGTGGCAGGAGGTTTCTTGAGACCTTTCTGACACCTCGTCCATGTGGCCTGGGGCCAGCCTTCCTCTCGCCACAGCGGGTGGCAGGGTGTTGCCGGCTGTCACCAGTGGTGTTTTCAGGACCCACCTTGTGTGGGAAACGAAGAAGAGACCATTGTCTCAGTTTTGGTGAATTGGAGGTTGTGCCTTACTTACCCCCTGCCTGGGAAGCTGGCTGGACTGCGATGCAGAACCTGCCCGGTCCACGGACCCTTACGAGATGATTCACTCAGATGTCACTGCGTTCACAGTCAAACGGGACCAGGCGGGAGGAGCACACTCCCCCGAGCGGAGGCCAGTCTGTTGAGCTGCGCCGCTGTGTGGCCAGACATGCTTCCTCTCTCTCCTCTGTATCAGGGATATTCCAAGCAGGTAGAGATCGCAAAATGCTGAGTATTTTTTTTTATAAATATGTTTTTATTGATTTCAGAGAGAGAAAGGGAGGTGGAGAGAAACATTGATTGGCTGCCTCCTGCACGCCCCCTACTGGGCATTGAGCCCACAACCTGGGCATGTGCCCTGACTGAACTAGCTACCTCCTGGTGCACGGGACGATGCTCAACCCACTGAGGCACACCGGCGGGGCCTGAGTATTTTCTTTATGCTCTCTGTAGGTTGCATATGTGCAAGGGGCTGATTTTTTTAAGTACATAGAATTTCATTAATATGAATTCCACAGATGCCACCTTCTAGAACATCACACAGACACTAAGCTAACACCTACCTTTACACGTGCTAAAGACTTTGCAAAGCAAATTAAATTTTCAACACAATTGCAGGGTGACTGTTTTGACGACATTAACACCAGAGTTTTTCAAGTAATTCTGGAGCATCCATTTACAAAATGATTGAGATCGTGAACTGTAATTCTGATATTTTCATTAAGGCAGATTCCCAGAGGCATCTTTGAAGTAAAACTTTATAAACTTCGTTGAGATGACTAGTCATTTATTTAGTCATCCACTCAGCGAATGTTTACGAAATGCCTATGATGGGTTAGGTGCTGGGATAGGGTGAAGGAGAGATACACGTGACTCCTTCACAGGATATTAACGAGGGTCACAGGCATTAATAATAAGGCAGTGTGACTGTATTTCCCTGTAGATGTTGAAATACTGTTTCTTTAAAACTGTTCTATTGCTCGTGCATTTCAGTAATTCAGATGGCCTGCTCCTTCGTCATTCTCCTTTGTTGATATCCTATACCATCATTTCTAACATTATTTTTTGTGTGTTTCTATTATATTTAAAGAGGAAGTGGTTTTAATCCAAAGTCCCTGCTTGCCTTAAGGCAGGATTTACACAGCATTAAAATCTGTGTATCCATCATATTTTCTATTGGCTGTTATTATACAGGTTGTTTTTTGAAACATAATGTGCAACGCTTAGTAAATAATACAAAATACATTTTTACATATACTGGCATATGTGTGTACATGTAGTGGACAAATATACGTATATGTATGTATATATAATGTACCTGTTATATGTATATGACAAATAACAAACCCCTCTTCAGTCCTTTAGAAGGGCTGGGCTCTGGGCCGTCTGAAGCTTGAGGATTTCTGTGCATCCCCCCTCCTTCTCCAGCTGCAGTTGGTGAATTATGGAGCGAAGATCTGTGACCTCGGGGGTGGGGGTGGACGGGAGCCAGTGGCAGCCCTGCAGCTCTGTGGTACCCAGGTAGGCAGACAGCACAGGGGGAGGGGCCTTTCTTCCTTTGCCACCTTTGCCGTTCCAGCCACTTGGAGCTCTCTACACCCCGGAGGAACGTGACCCCACCTTAGGTGTCAGTTGTTTAATGGGCTACCCTTTGCGACATTTGCTGTCATTTAATAAGTCTGGGTTAGCAAGGCCAGGCTCTCTGGGAAGCTAATGATCTCCTTTTAGGCCTGGTGCGTGCAATTTGAGAAGCTGCTACCAGGTGAGTGGTGGTGCCTGGCCGCTGGCTTCACAAATAGGGGAAGAAAGCCGGAACCCAGACAGCTGGGGCTCCTCGCTAGGAGAGACGCGTTCATGCCCAGTTACGCACGGCATCTCGGATTGCTGGGGGCGACACATGAATACAATATAAATGCAAAGACTTACATAGCACCGATGTGTATTCCTTATATCAAATAGCAACTGTTGTCTCTTACTGCTTTGCTCAGCTCTGTTGTTTTTTTATACTGAGGAGAAACCTCTAATTTTCAGGCATGTGTGAGGTTTCAAATCTCAGGCTTTTGTTTAAAAAATGTTTTCTGCATCTTTTCACTCCTTCTCTGGGCCCGTGATCCACTTACTTTGAAGCAGCATCCAGAGGTGACTGTGGCTTATCAGGGGGACCTCAGTGATCTTCCTGTGTCTAACCAGCTCCTTGGAGGTCTTTCCTGTTCAGTCCCTCTTCCCCTCCCTCTTTCCCTCTCCCTCCCTCCCTCTCTTTCTCTCTCTCTCTTCTCTCACTCACTCTCGTTTTTTGCCTTCTTAAAGTTCACTAGGATTATTTCCACTATAAATTAATACTCATTAGAGAAAATCTTTAACATAGGAAATACAAGGAATTAGAGAAAATCACCCATGATGCCAAGATTGTTAACATTTTAAATTGTTTCTTTTCTTTCTTGTACACATTTAAAAAAATTTTTTTTGAAGTTCTGATCACTTAAAAAAAATTGTTGTGGTAAAATGAATACATGCCATAAAATTATCCTTTTAAAAATATTTTTTTAATTGATTTTTTTCAGAGAGAGAGAAACATTGATGAGAGAACATCAGTTGGCTGCCTCCTGCATGCCCCCTAGTGGGGATGGAGCCTGCAACCTGGGCATGTGCCCTGACTGGGAATCGAACTGGTGACCTCTTGGTGCCTGGGATGATACTCAGTCCACTGAGCCACACAGGCCAGGCATAACTTTACCCTTTTAATCATTTTAAAAAATGAATTGCCCTGGCAAGTGTGGCTCACTTGGTTGGAATGTCGTCCGGTGCACCAAAAGATGGCAGATTCCCAGGCAGGGCACAGACCCAGGCTGCAGGTTCAGTCTCCGGATGGGATGCACGTAGGAGGCAACAATGGCTATTTCTTTCTCACATCAATGTTTCTCCCTCTCTCTTTCTCTCTTCCTTCCTTTCTCTAAAAAGAAATAAATAGAAGATAAGTTAAAAATTAATTTACTTAAAAAAACTTTCCCTTTTAATCATATTTTAGTGTACTCTTCATCTCTTTTTTTTAATCCTCACTTGAGGATATTTTTCTGTTTATTTTCAGATAGAATGTGAGGGAAGGGGAGAGAGAGAGAGAAACATTGACATGAGAGAGATACATCGACTGGTTGCCTCCCGACTGGGCCAGGGACGAACTGCAACTGAAGTACGTGCCCTTGAATAGAATCGCACCTGCGACTCTTGGGTCCGAGGGCCGACACTCTAACCGCTGAGCCAAACCAGCCAGGGCTCTCTTCGTCTCTTTTTAAAGTGGGAATGAATTCCCTCCAGGCAGCAGCTTTTCCTTCTCCTGCCTCTTCAACTTAATTTTCTTTCTGCATCAGATCAGAAAACCCAGACATGTTCATTGTTCATCAGCACATGCCTGCGTGTCCACAGTCCCCTTGTCTTTAGTCTGATTGCCTTGGCACCTCAGTCTGTGTCATTCCAAATGAGGGGCGGTTCAGAGCTGCTGTAAGTTTCGCATAGTGCAGTTGACTGAGCAACTTCAGGCTCCTCTGCCCTTTACCCTTTCTTGCTGAGGACCTTGAAATCGTCTTGGACAAAACGGGGAAATTTTTGGCACAGTGTCATAAGGATTTTCATATCTTTTCTAGTGATAATTGGTAACTTTTAATGAGGCTGAAGGAGACAATATTTAAAAAAAATTTTTTTTTTCTTAATGATTCTGGAGAGAGAGGAAGGGAGAGGGAGAGAGAGCCAGGAAACATTGATGAGAGAGAACATCGATTGGCTGCCTCCTGCGTGCCCCCCTTTGGGGTTCGGGCCCACAACCTGGGCATGTGCCCTGACCAGGAATCGAACCGGTGACCTCTTGGTGCTTGGGTTGATACACAATCCATAAGTTCTCCGCCACAAAGTAGGGATGCGTTTTTGGTCGGGCTCATCGGTGGAATCTGTAAGGATTAATCCGTCATTTTGATTATTTCCTGTTTCTTTAGGCTGACTTTATATATTTATTTTCTGGCCGTTCCTTCTGTTCCAGGACCACCCGCACCCGGTTCGGGGAACGAGCAGCACTCATCTGCCTCCATCTTTGAGCACGTGGACAGGGTCTCCCGCTCCTCCGAGGCCAGCCGGCGGGTCCCCAGTAAGATCCAGCTGATCGCCATGCAGCCGATCCCCGCCCCGCCGGTTCACCACCCCGTCCTGGCCGACCGAGTGGCCGAAACCAACAAAATTAACAAAGAGGTATTCGTTTTTATTAAAGTGCACGTAAACACAAAAGCTCACATGCTGCTGTGGTTCATGCTTGAAAAAAATGAGCGCTTTCAAAAAAGTTCAAGTGTCAAAAGCTTGCTGCTGAAGGTGTGAGATGCTGAGAAGTATTCTTAATTTTAAATTTAAACTTATACTCAGTTTTTCTTTAGAACAGATACTGTTCAGGGACACCGTTAGGTGCATTGGCAGATGTGCAGAAAGCAGACCCGAGACTGCTGTCCTTCGAAGTCCTGCTCTGCCCCCTGGCTGGTTTTGGGAACCCGGGTTTCTAAAAGGTTCCCATCCTTTGCAAGACAGACTGGCTCGCTGTGCCTAAGCTGTGCAGACAATGTGATTTATGCTGAATATCTGCTTTCCTTCTGAGAGTTTGGAATTTTGGTCCATGCCAGGCAGAGGGTGCCCACGTGACCAGCCCCCATTACAAACCCTGGGCGCTGAGTCTCTGACGAGCTTCCCTGATGGACAGCATTTCACAACTCGTTGCTGGGGGCATTTAGCACATCCCGTGTGACCCCACTGGGAGAGGACCATGGGAAGCCTGTGCCTGTCTCCCCCAGACTTTGCCCCAAGTGCCATTTCTCTTGGCCGATCTTGCCTGGTGTCCTTTTGCTGTAATAACTGGGGCTACAGGCTGAGTCCTGGGAGTTCTCCTGGTGATCACTGAACCTGGGGTTGTCTTGGAACCGTAGGAGACTGTGATTCCTCATAGATCCGCTCTGGCTCCAAGGATCTAGGTGATTCTCAGCAAAACCCTTTTCCAGTGAATCCTGGAAGAGAGAGTTGGATCTGCTTCCTTCTTGAGATGCTGGGAACCAGAGGCCAGGCCAGGGCACTGTTAACTTGAGCTGGAGAGATTTGACCTGGGCGGGACAGTGAGGAGTGAATGCCATTTAGGAATTCGCGTAAGGCAGCTTCGTGCCTGCAATGTCCTGCCTCCAAGAAGCCCCGGTTGCTGTTTGAGTCCTGCCAGGTTGAGGTAATAACACGTAGGTACAGTTGATCCCCCACCCCACTTTAAAGGTGATCTGGAACGTGGGTCATCTTACAGAAAGAAGTCTTATCAAGAGTCCCTAGAGGTTCTGCTAGCCACACCTCAGTGGCTCCTTGCCCAGGACGGGCCCGTAGAATATGTGCCATGAGGTTGGGGTGCTGAGCGCTGTCCCTTCGCACCGGTGCTCCAGAGCCCAGCCCTGTCTCCGCGTCTCATGTGCGTACCCTCTGTGCCCGCTGCGCGTGAGCACCTGGAGCGGCGTCTCCACCCGGCGGGAAAGAAGAGAGCGTGCTCCCCGGCCTGTGGCCTCTCCGGCCTGTGGCCTCTCCCTCCTGTCTTCTTCTGCTCTTTTACATGTAGTATTTGGTGCTTATGTAGACGAAAGGTCGCAGAGATGGATTGAAAAGCATAATAATGAAATCAAAGCCCAACTTAGAACTGGAGCATTATCAATGCTATTGCACTGACCGAGATCCTTCCTACATCTCAATTGAAATGTTTTCTTAGCAGGAGGTTCTGGTGCAAAAGGGGCTTTCTTCCTTTCTTTTAAAAAAAATCCTTACACAAAGATATGCTTATTAATTTTTTTTTTCTTTAAATCCTGACCCGAGGACATTTTTCCATTTATCTTATAGAGTGGGAGGGAGAGAGGAAGGAAGAGAGAGAGAGAGAGAAACATCGACGTGAAAGGGACACATTGAGTGGTTGCCACCCACATAACCCCAACCGGGGCTGGGGACAAACTGCAACCAAGGTACGTGCCCTTAGCGGGAACCGAACCCAGGACTCTCTGGTCCACAGGCCGATGCTCTAACTGCGGAGCCAAACCGGCCAGGGCATGCTCATTGACTTTAAAGAGAGAGAGAGAGAGAGAGAAAGAGAGAGAGAGAGAGAGAGATATCGAGATCGATGGATTGCCTCCCTTATGTGCCCCCTCCCGGGGTCGAACCCACCACCTTTTTGGTGCATGGGAGGATGCTCCAAACAACTGAGCCACCTGGCTGGGGCTAAGAGGAGCTTTGATTCTGAGACCCTTATGCAACTGATTGCCCTTCTCAGTCTCAGAGAAGTAGGTGGCTTTTGGTCCACTGCGGAATAGGCAGTAATGATCCCTTTTCTCTTGGCCTGCGTCCTGCTCTCTCCTCCCAGATTCCCCTTCTTGGTCGGCACTGCACCCCAGCAGACCTGCCCCTGCATTCGGTCGCCTCTCTGGCCCCAAGCCCTCATCTACATCCCTGCCCTGACCCTTGCATGTGGTGCCTGCATCTCACACCCTGTTCCCCTCCCCTTCCCCGCTCACGATCTCCTCACTCAGGCTCATACACGTGGATCCTTTCCCTGGGGAGGGGGGTTCTCATGCCAGAGGGCTTGTTTCAGTGACACTAGGTAATTATCAGTAAGTGGGGATTCTGTTGTGTCATGCAAATAACACCTTTGACTCTACCTTCATTTAAGAGCCATTAAGATAGTGACTATTGGGTTTGGAAATCATGTCATCTCTCTCAGGGCATACTGCATCTAGCCCTCAGTGCCCCTTAGTATCGTCAGAGTTGCCAGGTCTGAGTTACCTTTGCCAGCTTTGGGGGCCGTTACCACTGCCTCCCCTCACACACACCGGGCGAGTTTGGGGTCCCCTCTGCCCCGTGTGGGGGTGTTTGCCGGTATCGCACCCTCTGAGGCCTCCAGGAACCTAGGACAGCCATCCAGGGGCAAGGACCTGGCAGGAAGGCCTCCCCAAATGCTTTTGCGCCTGGGTCCTGGAGACCGTTCCCTGGATCCCGTTCCGCCCCCCTCGCCCCGCAGATTCAGACGGCGCTGCGGCACAAGTCGGAGATCGAGCACCATCGGAACAAGATCCGGCTCCGGGCCAAGCGCCGCGGCCACTACGAGTTCCCGGTGGTGGACGACCTGTCGTCGGGCGACACGCGGGAGCGACACCGGGTGTACCGCAGGGCGCAGATGCAGATCGACAAGATCCTGGACCCCACGGCCAGCGTGCCCTCGGTGTTCATAGAGCCCAGGAAGAGGTGGGGGTCCCGGGGCAGAGCCAGGAGGGCAGAGCTGGGTGGGCCCAGGGCCTGACCACTTTTCAGGGAAAAGTCTCTGAAAACGGGGCAAAGAGGTTTATATACAGGAAGGCTGAGCAGGTCACGGGGGTGGCCTTGGTCCTCCGTGCCCGAAACGCTGCCCTGGGTTAATGTCCTGGGAGTCAGCTTTCTGAAACGGCGACCACCCCTCCCTTCCCAGACGCCTGTCCCCAGCTGCCTGGCCCCCCATCTCCCCGGGCCGGCTCACCCCCAGTGTCCTCACCTCCCAGGCTAGCCACCAGGTCAGGGCGGTGGATGGCTTCCTTCTTGTCCCACAGCGACCTCGCGTTTGGGGTGCTACCTCCCCCTTCGCCTCTCAGACTCCTGCCCCCGACACTTGCTCTCAGTTCATCTGCTCAGGACCCGTGACGTCCTGTGGGCTGCATGTGCGCCACCACGGTGGCCGCCGGCTCTGCACAGCGGAGACACGCCTGCCCTCCCTGCCTGGGGGCCTCGCTGCCCCCACGCCTTAACCTGCGGCTCCATTTCTGGCCCTCGGTGTGGCTGTGCCTACACCTCGCACCCTCTTCCCACATCCCTCCATCTGCAGACCCTTCCAGACCCAGCTCAGGCCCCCGGGGCCGGCGGTGCATCAGCGGCTCACGCTGACCGCCCGCTCCGGTCAGTGTCACTAAGTCACACGCGCGCCTGCGTTGCCTCGGCTTGTTCTCGGTTCCCCGTGGGTGCTGCCGGCTGCCCAGGTAGACGGGCGCTTCCCTGGAGCCCGCACTGTGCGCGCACGGACTGTGCTGCGGGGCTCGCTGCAGCGCCCCCGGACGCTCCGAGTGGTCGGTCCGCCAGCGGGAAGGTTATGGCCTGTGACGATAACGCCCGTTTCCCTGGCAGCTCGCGGATAAAGCGCTCGCCCAAGCCACGCCGGAAGCAGCAGGTCCACGGCTGCCCCGGGGACGCGGAGAAGGACCGGCTCATCACCACCGACAGCGACGGCACTTACAAGAGGCCCCCCGGGGTGCACAACTCCGCCTACATTGGTTGCCCGGTGCGTATGCTGAGCCCGCCTTCGGGGATCAGTGTTGGGGTGGCTCTTCGGGCGGAGAACGAACAGTGGGGACTGCTGCCCCGTGTGGTCTTGGTGCCCGTGGCTGACCAGGCACGTGGGGGAGGGGAGGGAGTAGCCTGCTCCTGGAGGGGAGACTTAAGTCATGCGGATCAGGGGCCTGCTGGGTGAGCCCTCTCCTCTTGGGCACCTCGTGAGGTTAATTGGAACACAGACTAAAACATCCAGCAGATTTTTGTTAATTCTCACCAGAGGATATTTATTTCCATTGATTTTTAGAGGGGGGGGCGGGAGGAGGGAGGCATTGATATGAGAGAGAGATATCGATTGGTCGCCTCCCAAATGCGCCCTGGCCAGGGCTAGGGATTGAACCTGCAGCCCAGGTATGTGCTCTTGGCCGGAAATCGAACCCGTGACTCTTCGGTGTGTGGGCTGGTGCTCTAACCACTGAGCACACTGGCCAGGGTCAGCCGGTTCTTTTTTTATCCCCCTGGCCAGAGCACTGTTTGGGCTTCTTGATGATAGGAGGGATATTTAGGATTTTGTCCCTCCCTTCTGTTTCTGGAGTGCTGAGAAGATACTGTATTTGCTAATAATATATACTTTTTATTTCAATGGGAGCAAGAACTTACTGGAAGTGAAGAAATGCGGAATGAGACATTTCTTTCACACAGAAAGGGCACAGACAGAGTTGCTCTCAGTGTAAAAAGCAGACAATGATCGCATTAATTCACACACACAGACCCCATTGAGTGGGGGAGAAAGGGCCAGCCCCCCAAGGGGCCTTGAGAAATACAGATGCAGAGGCGCCCAGGACAGGGAGCGCCGGATGCAGACGCGGTGCCCTGTGGCAGGGTGCGCCCTGTCTAGTTACACCCACCCTTCCTCCCCCGGAGGCCAGCCGTCACCGCCGTCCCTGTTCAGAGAGAAATTAGCAACAAACACGTCCTCGGAGAAGGGGTACATGATCCCTTATGTAGAGCTCACCCAACCTGCCCTTTATTAAGTTTTATATTTTGTCTCCTAAGTTACACATACATAGCATCAGACGCTATGTATGATTGCATAAATGTGTCAAACGCCGTGTGGACATCGGGGCTGCCCGTAGCTGAAACATGGCCATCTGGAAGAACCAGGCCATTCCTTGGGAACCTCGAGGCTGACCACGCCCCCCATCCCTGCTCCTCAGGGCTGGAGTGGTTGGGGCTGTGAAAGAGTAAGGTCTGCAACCGTCGCTGGCAGTTCTTACAGTAGATGGCGCTCTTGTGCTGCTGTGTTTGGACAGGCGGTTGGCTGGGCCTCTGTGCTGTTTGCTTTGATCTCTTGATCTCCAGGAGGGCCGTCCCCTTGGCTCCTCAGGAGAGTCCTGCAGGGACACCAACAGAGGAAGGAGGAGAGCCCCCCACATGCCCCCTAGGCTCCCCCCCCCCCCCCCCCGCCTCCCACTTCCCTAACCATGGGGCTGCTTCTCCCAAAGGGATTTTCAGGGGAGCGTTTTCAATTCCAGTGTCGTCTTTTTTTCCAGCAGCCCTGAATGCCATCACCCAGTGCCACTGAGTCTGGTGCAGGGAAGGACCTGTCTTCCCCTGCTCTCTCCATCTTGCCTTCATCCATGACCCTAGATCAGGCCTGTTTCCTGGCGGCCCAGACCATCCTTTTTCTCCTGGCCTTTTTTAGTAGAAAGCCCAGAGGTTCCCCCTCCCGCTGGTGGAGAGAAGCCCTTCCCTGGGGAGTCCACCGCGGTCAGCTGCTTCTCTCCAGGGGCTCAGCTTTTCAAAGACTCCCTAAACCCGAGGGCTTCCTCAGAGGGGCTTCTTTCTTCCTCTCCCTCAAAATCTGAAACTCGTATTTCCAAAAATAATGCCTTTCTCGGAACTCACCTTCCTTTGGGTAGTATACCAGGCATATGTAGTTTATAATGATCTTGATTTTTATACTTTCCCCCTCAAAAGGAGCTGTCTCCTTGACAGCTGTTTTCCTGGAGTGAAAATTTTTTTCCCTGGATTCCTTATAACTGAAGTTACATTTATAATCAGGCCTAGGCACACTGTGGCCCTCAGGCCAAGTCCAGCCAGCTGCGTGTTTTTGTAAGTAAAGTTTTATTGGAACACAGTCACGCCCATTCATTTGCATGTTATCTGTGGCTGCTCTTGCTACAGGGGCGGAGTTGAGTTTGCAGCAGAAACGAAAGGTTCAGAAAGCCTAAAATACTTAGTGTCTGACCCTTTCCAGAAAAAGTTTGTCGGCCCCGGATAAAATGTATCACTCAAACTGTGAGAGTGAAGAAACACTATTAATGACTATACTGGGACAATAGGCATAAACTGAGATCGTCCTGGGCCAACCAGGGTGCAGGACCCCTCTCTCGTAATACCCACAAAGCATTGCAAAATAGGTACCAGAATACATTGTCTCTGGTGATTAAAGGTAAAAAGGTTCAGACGTATCTCTGGAGGAGGATAGGTGAACATGTATCTGTGCAAAGGAAACAAACAGTATAAAATTTATCAGACTGCGATTCAGGACAGTGGAGTTCAGATCCCAGCTTGGGGATTGTGGAGAAGTACTTGCTTTTGCAGATGACCGTGTTTCACGTTTGACTGAGTACCATCTCTGTGGGACACTGCTCGATGTTGCGATACAGAAAATGAAGATGACCTATCTCGGCCTGCACGTTCTGAGAGTCTAGCCTGTGAAACGAGGCAACTAGAAGAAAGAACAGGGGCTCTGACATCGTGCCGTGTAACCCCGGGCCTTCTGGGCAGGATTCACGGGGCCAGTAGTCATCCAAGGGAACCTTCCTTCCCACCTTCAGAACCTCTCTCTCTTGCTGTGGAAGTTAAATCTTCTCTGAAATGATGACCACTCAGGGTGACATTGGCAGTGGCTGTCACTCTGACTCCTCAAGTGTATTTAAGATCCGCCTCCCAGCACGCCCCCCCACGCCCCCCCTTGGAATCTCAGTGTGGGCTTGTGGCCCCGCCGCTCGCTTCCTTGTAATACAGCTACCTTGTCAGCCACGGGGACCACCGCCAGGCGCATCACCTCTGTCTTTAGAGAGAGCCCCTCTTACTTACCAGCAGGATGCATTTCCAGACACACGTGTCCATTTCTCCACCAGGCATGGTTAGGTTGGAGGCACCCTGCTGATCACAGGTTTTCCTCCCAGCTCCTGGAGAAAGACCAGTAATGGGGGAAGGGCTTGTATATGGCCCTTTTGCCCACCTCCAAAGAAAGGGACAGTGTGTTCAGTGCGAGCACGTGGGGAGTACAGTGGTGAGAACACGGCTGCCCTCCGGAGCCTATTCAGTGCCACGTCGTAAACCAGAACCCCCTTGGGGGCCCAGAATCCTTCCTGAGAATTTCTGCATGACAGATGCCACTTAGGACAGACAGACGTCCAGGACTAGGGCAAGGGGGTGGCACCTGCCCCATCCCAGGAGGGTGGTCGGAGCCTCAGTTTCTGCCAAGAGAATCCAGAAATCCGAGGCTCGAATACAAAATTTTCAGATTTTTAAATCAGCGGCTAAGTCTGCTTTTAAAAACTCCATGTGGGCCAAGCAAAACAGGTCTGCAGGCTCTGTGTGGATTTGCCAGTTTGGAGAGTGGTTTTCTCTGCTTGGAGTTAAGCAGCTGCGGCCCCGAGGTGGGTGACGCTGGCGTGGATGATATGTGACCATCCACCATGCTGACATTTGCATTAGGAAGCGCTGTCCAGGAAGCTGCCTAAGAGGAAGGACGTGTCTGTGGAATACATTTCTGTTGGCGAGAGGCTCGCTGATCCAAACAGATACAGGAATGTCTTCCTCGGCCCTTCAGGACCAGCTGAGCTGAACTGCGGACCAGCAGGCGAGCAAAGCCTTCCAGATGGGAGACGTCCACTCTTCCCCACCGAGGGCACGGGGTCACCAGCCCGTCCTGCAGACCTTTCTTCATTGTCACTTGGAGTGACCGTGATGTTTGGGCTTCTGGAGCCACTGGGACCCGAAGGGCCTCTTTTTCCAATGGTCCTCTGTTTTGTCTCTTACAGTTTACCTAAGCATGTATGGCGTCAATGTTTTGCTCACCGGGCCGTATCAGAAAATAAGTTTGAAAATAAACTTGATTGTGACTTACAACCCTGCCTCTTAGACAGTGGGTATGGAAGAAAATTTAAACCTTTCTTGATAACTCATGTTATCCAGAGATGCCTCTATTTTAAAAACGGTTTCTGAATAAATAATTACTACTTACTGTCGTAAACTGTATAATAGGTATGGAAATTATTTATACGTGCACAGTTGTAGTAGGGCGGTGACTGAACTCTCCTGGGAGTGTGGAGGGCTGGTTTTTCCTGTTGCTAATAGTCAGTAGACGGCTTTAGTTTTTGGTTTCTACGTCTATGGAAAGTCGACTGCTGGGTATTTTAGTAAGTCGACTCTGGGATGTCCGTTTTGGTTACTCGGGGCTTTTCCATAAAAATGATGCTTCCAGGTACTGAAGTGCATTTCACACAGTTGCAGGAGTTTTGCCAGACAAATGATTGTTGAATGTTTGTTTTTTTTTTCCTTGAGTTCTGATTCAAACTTTTTGCACCCATGAGAGCTAACACACTTTTCTCAGCTGTCATCTTAAAAATTTTCACGGGACACCTTTTGCTTAATGCCAGTGAAAACTGTTCAGTTACGTTTTGACCCTCGATAGAGTTTTGCTTTCGGGTCACCACTGAGGCTCATGTGTGACTCTTCCTCCCTGTGCTGTGTCCCCTGTGCAGTCTGACCCCGACCTCCCGGCTGAGATGCAGACGCCGTCCTCCGCTGAGCTGGGCCGGTACCCAGGCCTGCCCTTCCCGGCCCCCCAGTACATCCCGCCCCAGCCCTCCATCGAGGAGGCGCGTCAGACCATGCACTCCCTCCTGGATGACGCTTTTGCCCTTGTGGCCCCCAGCAGCCAGCCTGCCAACGCTGCCGCGGGCCCCGGCCTGCCCGTGAACAGCACCCCTTCCCGGGAAGAGAGACGAGCCGCCCAGTGGGGGTCCTTCTACAGCCCAGCTCAGACGGCCAGCAACCCTTGCAGCGTAAGTATGGGCCTTCCGGATTCTCAAGTCTGGAGCTTTGTAGATGCTTCCTCCGGAGTTCCTCCCACTGTGCTAATGCTAGTTGGAACCAGCATCATCCCTCATCAAGATTGTTGCAAGAACCTCCCATGGCCTCCCTGCTTCTGGCCTTGAGGGAGGATGTTGGGGTGGTGGCCGACAAGAAAAATGCTGTTTTTGGTGTTGATCAGACCAACGAGCTGAGAAGCTAACACAGGACGGACCCTCTGGGTAACAAGAGGTCTTGGAACGAAGGGGAAGACCTACCAGGAGCCTCCAGATTTAGTCTTGAGTTCTCACTTTTTCTTTTTATTAATTTTTTTTCAGTAACAGTTTACATTCATTGTTACTTTGTCATAGCTTCAGGTGAACAGCATAGTGATTAGACAGTCATATACTTTACAAAGTGTTCCCCTTGGTATTTCCAGGACCCCCCTGGTACCAGGTATAGTTATCACAACGTTATTAACTGTATTCCCTCTGCTGTACTTTATTTCTCTATGACTATTTTTTTAAAGGTTTATTTATTGATTGATTGATTTTTAGAGAGAGAGGAAGGAGAGAGAGAAACATTGATGAGAGAACACTGATTGGCCGCCTCCTGCATGCCCCCCACTGGGGATTTGGCCCACAGCCTGGGCACGTGCCCTGACTGAACCAGGCCCCTATGACTATTTTGTAACTACCAATCTGTACTTCTTGAGCCCTTCTGCTTTTCACCCAGTTCCTCACTCCCCCTTCCTTCTGTTCCCTGTATCTATGCGTCTGTTTCTGTTTTGCTTGGTCATTCAGTTTGTTCTTTAGATTCCGCATATAAGTGAAATCATATAGTATTTGTCTTTCTCCAACTGACTTATTTCACTTAGCATCATACCCTCTAGGTCCATTAATGCTGTTGCAGATGGTAGGATTTCATTGTTTTTTATGGCCAAGTAATATTCCATTGTATTCATGTACCACAGCATTTTCATCCACTCATCTATTGATGGGCACTGAGGTTGCTTCTATAGTTTGGCTATTGTAAATAATGCTGCAATGATAGGGGTGCTTATATTCTTTCAAATTAATGTTCTGAGTTCTCACTTTCTGACCTGAACTTGATTCCTGCTGGCCTCTATCTGTCACCTCTCTCTGCCCCAGCGCTCCTTGGACTGTTCTGTGAAGAAATCTGTGGCCATCTTCATAGCCCCCCTTTCTTGTAGGGATGTACGTGCCCGATCAGCTAGGAAGTCTCAGTAGTTCTTGGCACGTAATACGTTTTCATTTCCCCCCTGAATAACCAATGTTTAATTTATCTTCAGGTTTAGCTCTTTCATTCAATTCAGGAAAACGTCATTTTGTTTCTCAAATAATTTTCTTACTCTTTTCCATTTACTGGAGTCAAGGATAGCAGTGATCTCTGCTGGCTCACCTTTGTTTTCTCTAGTTACCTCTTTGTCTCCAATTGCTTTAGCTACTCTGTCCTTTGTCCCCAGTCTCTCCACCTTCAGTATGGTTGTCACGGGCCTTTTCTCTGTGACACTGATTTGGTTTCAATCCATGTCTATTCTTTTCCCTGCTAGTTCATTTCTTAGAGTCACAATGACATTATTCTGGTCCTCAAATTATTTCCAGTCCATGAGCTCCCATTTCATGTCATTTTGCTGTTTTATCGCCTTATTGTTGAACCTAAAAAAAGGAATTGCCGCCCGGCCAGGTGGCTCAGTTGGTTGGAGCATCGTCCTGTACACCAAAGAGGTTGAGGGTTCGATCCCCGGTCCGGGCGTGTAAGGGAGGCAGCTGATAGATGTTTCTCTCTCACATCGATGTTTTTCTCTCTCTCCCTCTCTTCCTTCCTCTCTCTAAAATCAATAAACATATCCTTGGGTGAGGATTTAGAAAAAAAAAATTGCCGTTTTTATAGTTCCAAGTACTTGTGGAGAATCTGTCGTGTTTTCTACCAGACTGGGTTCTTTGTCTTTTCTGTATATTTGTTTTTTGAAACTTGTGTTTGTCCACTTGTTTTCTGGCTGTAATGTGTTCGCAGAGTTGTGCTGTTTTCTTTTTGTCTTGTTTGCGGTTAAGACAGTCAGGTCTTTCTTAATTCACTTCGATTTGTGAGAATGTGGTCCATTCACCTTTGTATTCTTCAAGCTTTATTTGGGACCTGTTTGACTCAAAGGGTTGCTTTCGTCCATGTTTCTGTAGCCTGGCATCGTGGGGGCGGGGAAGGCAGGGCCTGGTCCTCCCTGGGCCTTGTGCTCGGCTGTCTCCTCAGTGTTCTGGTAGTTTCCATGGTCCTGCCGGCACCCCCCTCCCAGGAGCGCATACTGCACCCCGCGCGCTGTGCTCCTTCATCTTCAGACTCTGACTTGAAAGATGGGAAAAGACTTGGTGGTCCTTCCTGCTTCGCCTGACTTCCTGTTGCACTTCTGGGGATTTCTCACATCTGGGCTGTTCCTGAATTCCTCCCTCCTTCCCTTCAGTGCTGCCCGCTAACCCCTCGTGTTACAGCAGGTCCGGAGACCAGGCTGACTTCGTGTGTGAACGTGGAGCTCCCGATCCTGGGCGGCCGGGTGGCTCGGACTGGCTGGACTTGGGCGGACTCCGTCCAGAGCTGCTGTTCTGCTGAAACATCTGATTCCAAAATATCGATTCACAGTCGTTGAAAGAAATGTTGAAATACAAGGCTCGTTGTACGTTAGCCTTACGAGATGTTGATTTCACGAAGAAAGCAACGTAGATACAGGTTTCTTTAAAGCTGATACCTGATCGCCTTAGTGAGGGAGCACTTGGTTAGCTCGCATGGGCTCAAGGGGAAGGAGTTGACTGAAGGGTATGAGGGCATCTTATGGAACTTAAGAGCTAAGAGCTGGGCCTCCTGGGAACCAGAAAACAGCTAGAAACTGCAAGTGTTCACTTGATCTTTGCTTGTTAATCCTCACCCGAGGATATTTTTTCCATTGATTTTTAAAGAGAGTGGAAGGGAGGGAGGGAAGGGGGAGAGAGACAGACAGACATTGATTGGCTGCCTCTTGCATGCACCCTGACTGGTGCCGCGGATCGAACCTTCAACCCCAGTACGTGTCCTTGAGTGGGAATCAAACCCGAGACCCTTGGTACGCAGGCCAATGCTCTAACCGCTTAACCACGCCGGCCAAGGCATAGTATGTGTTTTTAAAGTCTGGTAGCCCAGTTCCCCAAACTGCAGCCCTGGCAGGACATGATGGCAGAACGCCCCAACAGCTTGCTAACTTTTTATGAGAAAATAATTCTCCTGAAAGCTGATCCCGCAAACCTAAACTTATAAGTTTGCTGTTGTCACCTTCTAATAAGTATTGACTATTAATCTCCATCTTCTTTTGAATTTCTTCCAGAGATATGACGACTATGGAATGACCCCCCCATCAGGCCCATTGCCAAGGTAAAGTTTTCAGGAGAAAATGCGTTAGGACTTCCTCACACAGGCTGTTTTTCTTTTAGTTTAATTTTGTGCACTCATGTTTTAGCTAATGTGAGCAGATGCAAAACTCGGAGTTGTGTTCTCTTGGTCTAACCAGAAGAGGAGGGAAAAAGTTAGGACTTAAGGTCTGTCTCCAGTAATGCCAGACGAGGTCATTTGCTGAGGACAGCCGGGAAAGTTAGACGGGATTTTGAAGTAAAAATTCAAAACCCAGGGAGCTAACAGGGCAGTGGAGCGGTTTGGGGCCAAGATCTAGGCAGTGCAGAGAGGGACCCCTTCTCTTCGAGCCCCTGCCTCCCAGGCACCCGCTGGGCAAACTTCTGACAGACTCGCGGGGCTGGGGGGCAAGGAGGGGAGGCCCTTGTAAGCGCCCAAAGGTTTGGGTTCGACCTTTAGGGGTTATACCTTAGAACAGCGGTTCTCACCCTGTGGGTTGCGACCCCTTTGGGGGTCGAATGACCCTTTCACATTGGTCTCCTAAGACCATGGGAAAACACGTTTCCGGCGATTCGTAACAGTAGCAAAATTACAGTTGTGAAGTAGCATCGAAAATAATTTTATGGCTGGGGGTCACCACGACATGAGGACCTGTGTTAAAGGGTCACGGCATTAGGAAGGTTGACCACCACTGCCTTAGAATAAGGGTTAACGGTAAGTCCCGGGGTCCCTCCAAGAACTAAAACTCAGCTTCGGATGATCTCACTCCCTGGTTGGATTGAGGTGACTGGACTTGGTTTGTGCCTCCAGCTGCCTGGCAGAGATTCTCCTGGATAGGAAGTTAATATCACATTAGACTGCTGTTATCATTGTAGTTTCACATGGACACACACACACACACACACACACACAACCAGGTGTATGAGAAGATAAGAAAATATGGTTTTTTAAAAAAAAAGGTGATAGAGAATGAATTCAAGGGGATCCATGTATTGGAGGTATTGAACCAGATGTTTAAATAATGATGCTCAATCTAGAGTTCAGCCTGCAGTCTGGAAGATGCAGAAGTACTAATTCATGTTAGATTGCACTAGGCCAGAGATGCTGGTTTAATTTTTAGGATAACTTTCTAAACAATACTAGAAAAAGAATAGCAGTATAGTTGGGAGAAATAAAATAATTTTAAAGTAATCAAAAAAAGGGGGGCGGGGGAGAAATATGGGAGAAGCAGCAACACAGAATTGGCAGGACACGTGGAGACCACAGAAAGGGTGGTAGAGATTTGATTTAGGTTCGTAAGTGATTACAGTAAACATAAGTGGCTGATCATTCCCATTAAAAGATTGAAGGGTTGTCAAATTGGATTTGGGAAATTCCAGAAAGGATATAGAAAAATTGACCAACATGATGACTCAGTTTGACCTACTTGACATAGAATTCAGTAGCCGCAAAATACATGCACTTTTAAAATACAAGATTTAAAAAACTTGACCATATGCTGGGCCATAACAACTCTTAGCAAATTTCATAGAATTGAAATCACTCAGAGTATATCTGCCAATTATCTATATTAAAAATAAGTTAGAGCCCTGGCCGGTTTGGCTCAGCGGTTAGAGCGTCGGCCTGCGGTCTGGAGAGACCCAGGTTCGGTTCCCGCTAAGGGCATGTACCTCGGTTGCAGTTTGTCCCCGGCCCTGGTTAGTTGTGCAGGTGGCTGCCACTTGATGTGTCCCTTTTACATCGATGTTTCTCTCTCTCTCTGTTCCTCTCTCTCCCTCCCACTCTACCTGAACAAAAAATGGAAAAATGTCCTTGGGTGAGGATAAAAAAAAAGTTAGAAATCAGTAATGAAAAATAACTAGAAAAATCCCTATATATTTGCATTATTAATCAGTACACTGAAGAAATAACATTGAAAATTAAAACATATCTTGAAATGAGTAATTAATAAAAATGCAACATATCAAAAGTTGTGGGACGCATCAAAAGCCATGTTTAGAGAAATCTGATGCCTTCAATGCATATATTTGAAAAGAAAAATGGCTGAAAATTAATCATCTAAGTATCCATTGCAAGATATTAAAGATCCAGTTACACTTAAAGAAAGTAGAAGGAAGGAAATAATAAAAATAAGAATTGAAATCAGTGAAATGGAAAAGCAGTACAGTAATAGAGAGGATCAATGAATGGAAAGTTCTTTGAAAAAGCTAATACATTTGGAGAACTTGATCAAATCTGAAACATTATCAATATGAGGAATTAAAATCATATCAATCCAGATATTACAGACATTAAAATGGCTTTAACATAATTTTAAAAGATTTTATGAACATATTTTTATAAATTTGAATGGGAAAAATTCCTTGAAAGGGAAGGCCTGAAAAGTCATATAACTATGAAAGAAATTGAAATCATGATTGAAGTTCTTCCCACAAAGAAAACTCTAGGCCCAGGTGGCGTCAACAGGGCGTCCTACCAAACACTAAAGGCAGAAGAGGTGCCCGAGTCATACGGATTCTTCTGAACAACAGAAGAAGAGAGAGTACTCCCCAACTCATTTTATGAGACCAGCATAACCTTCATACCAAGGAGAACACGAGGACATTGCAAGAAAGGAAACATTACGGCTCAGTTTCCCTCGGGAACATAGATGCAAAAAATTCAAAACCAAATATTAACAAACATATCCAGCAATATATACAAAAAGATACTACATCGTAACCAAAGTGGATTTATTCCAGTGATGCAAGGGTGATTTAGTATTTTAAAAAATCAATGTAATCCCTGGCCAGTTTGGCTCAGCAGTTAGAGTGTCAGCCGCCGACCAGAGAGTCTCAGGTTCAATTCCAGTCAAGGGCACATACGTCGGTTGCGGTTTGTCCCCGGCCCTGGTCGGGGTCATGCAGGAGGTGACCAGTTGATATGTCTCTCTCACGTCAGTGTTTCTCTCTCTCTCTTTCTTCCTCCCTCCCTCCTTCCCCTCCATTTATGATAAAAAATTTGGCAAAGACTAGATACAGACGAAGCTAATAAAAGTTATCTTGGTGAAATGGAGAAAGTTTTCCCTCTGAGACCAGGAGCAAGACAAAGATGTCAGCTTGTATTACTTCTATTACCAGTCCCCTGGGGAACCTGGGGCAGCAAGCCAAAAAAAAGAAAGATTAAGGAATTCAAAGGAAGGAAGCATATGGTTATTATTGACAGGTGATACAACTTTGTAATAGAAAATCCTAAAATGTCAATATATAAATTGTTAGAATGAAGAAAATTTAGCAGTATGGCTAAATTATAGGGTGGCTGCATACAGGCTCATTTTACAAAAATCTGTTTTATTTATGTGTATGAACAACAGATAGAAAGTAAAAAAAAATTTTATTTTTATCCTCACCCGAGGGCATTTTTCCACTTTTTGTTCAGACAGGGCGGGAGAGAGAGAGAGGAAGAGAGGGAGAGAGAGAGAAACATCGACATGAAAGGGACACAAGTGGCTGCCACCCACACGACCCAACCAGGGCCGGAGACAAACTGCAACCGAGGTACATGCCCCTAGCGGGAACCGAACCCGGGTCTCTCTGGACCGCAGGCCGGCGCTCCAACCGCTAAGCCAAACCGGCCAGGGCAGAAATTAAAAAATTTAAAGAGACTACATAAAATACCACTCAAAAATATAAAATACCTCAGAACAAATATAACCAAAGATGTTCAAGCTCTTTAAAGAAAGATGTTCATGGATTGGATACTCAATATTTTTTAAATGTCAGCTCTTTTAATTACTGGAAATTGAGAAACTGATTCTAAAATTTTGTGGAAATGCAAAGGACCAGGAATAGCCAGGACTCTCTAAGAAAGAAGAATGAGATATTAGGACTATTTTAAACTGTCAAGTAATGAAGACTGTGGTGTCACTGTAAAGTTAGACAAATAGACCAGTGGGATCAACTAGAAAGTCTATAAACAGATCTACACAGGAGTGGACAGTTGATTTATTAAAAGGAAGGAATTGCAGAAAACAATCTTAGATATTACATCCAACTATTCTTCAATGACCGGGAGTCACACAGGAGTAGGAATACTATATCTGTTTCCTCTTTACGTTTTTTATTCTTTTTCTGTTTTTCTCCTCATTTTCCGAGGGGCTTGTTTTGGTTCTCTCCATGAGTACTCCCCCACCCAGACGCTGCTCTGTGGTCCTGAAACAACACAGGCAAAGAGCACGTGTGCTCAGGTGACCCAGGGAAGTAGTTAGTGACGGGGGACCACAGGGTCTGGTTCACCCAGTTCAGTTCCAGCTCAGACCTGTTGTCCAGCATAATTATTAATAACTTTCACTCTCCAAAGTATTCTGATCCGGATGATAAACTTTATGGTCACCCAAGTTAAAGGAGTTGAGAGTATTATTTGGATCATACTGAACTGCCTGAGCACAAACTTTAGGAGAAAATGCTGCAGATGTAGGCAGGAGGGGGCCAACCGACGGGGTCAAGTAGAAATAATGAAGCCAAGGATGAGAGCTAGTTCTGGGTGGGTGGGTGGTCCAGAGAACATGATGAGGTCAGGTGAGCTCCGATGTACAGATCTTGCCTAATTTTAAGCTCTTGGATCTGTACGGCCAGTGATGTCAGACCTCTCTCTCAGGTCAATCTGAAACAGCGGCAGTTGTTTAAAGAGGAATATATCGCTGGCCTGGGTTTCAGTTTGGGAATGACACTGTGGAGAAAGGGCAAGTTGGTCTACTTTTCGAACTGGTTTGATCTGTTAATTATTGGCCGGCTGGTATTTGCAAAGAATTGTACTTAGACTCTCATCTTTTTTAATTCTTGAATCTCTTTAGAGGAGTGGTTCTCAAGTAGGATTCCGAGACCCCTGGAGGGTCCTGTGATCCTTGCAGGGGTGGTGGTCTATGGGGTAAAACTCGGTTCAGGGTAATAGATGTTATTTGACTTATTTGTGGCATTGACGTGTGCACGGAGGTACGGAAGCAGCGGTGGGTGCAAATAAACGCTGGTGCCTTAGTGTGAATCAAGACAATGGCCCCACGCGGCTCAAGTCATCGTTGTATGCATCAGCTCTGAGCAAGCGCCGTTTCTGGAAAAACAAAACAAAACAAAAAACCCACCAGTTTTACATTAGTATATCCTTCATGGTGTAGTAAATGCGATTACTTTTGTTAAACCTAAACCCTTGAGCCTGTAGTAGTCTGGGGATGAAAGAGGAAACACACATAAAGCACGTTGCTGAAGATGGAGCTTTGAAGGAAAAGCGCGTGTTCGGGTGTTGGCATGGAGAACTGAACTGTCCGATCCACGTTTTTTCCTGAACCACCAACTGGCAGAAATCATCATTCAGACGAGTGTTTGGCAGACACTGTCTCGAAAATGAACAAGGTGGGCCTGTTAGCTTCAAGCAAAACAACTGCCAGTATTTGTTGTCAGTGATAAAATGGAGCTTTTAAGTGAAAATCAGAGTTTTGGAAATTGTTGCCTGCCACCATGAACTTGAGCGTCTTAGTACTTAAGATGTTGCCGATGAGCTCAGTGATGATGTTAATGAATGTGATTTTTTTAAAAACTGTAAAATGAAATGTATCAGTATCTAGAAAGTCTACAGAACCTAGTGAACTAATTTCCAAATGACCAATGTTGTAAAATCATGCGTGGATCCATTCCAAGTGCAAGATAGACCAGTGAGTTTCAATGTAACAGCATATGGAAGGTTCACCGATATTGTTTCGGATTCCACAATGCCACTAACCCTTAAGGGAACTTTGTTGAATATTGGTGTGGTAAGGAAGAACATCATTTATCTGAACTATTATTTGAGTATTATCTGAAGAAGCTAGTAAAATAACCCTCCCTTTTCCAACTAAATATTTATGGCAACTGATTAAACACAAACTATATGAGAATCCAGATGTCTTCTATTAAGGAAATTTGAAAAAGATGTAAAACTCTTGCAAATTTTTTTTTGGAAAATATAATTAATTTCATGAAAAATGTTAACATGTAATACGTTTAATATTGTTTTCAATTAATTTTAAAAATAAGTATTTAAAATTTTCTGAGTTTTAATTTTAAATACAATAAATATCTATAGATAAAACGCACATACATAAAAGTGGGGACCGGCGCTCTTTGTCGTGCGTGTGCAGGGACCCTGCGGCCGTCAGTTTAAGAACCACTGCTTTCGAGCTCTGGTTTTCCGCCCCGAACTTCAGGATCATCAGCGGAGCTTTCCAAACAACCAGCGTCTGGGTCCCACTTCTACAGATTCTGTTTCAACTGGCCTCTGGGGTGCAGCGTGGGCCTCGGGCTTCTCAAAGCTCCCAGGTGGCGCTAATGTGTAGCTAGACTTGATGACCAGCGCTTTAGCCAGATGCTGGAGATGAGCGGGCCCCAGACCTTGACTGAACCCTCTTCTGGTCTTTAAACTAAAGCCTGTTTCCTTCCACCATCCGACAGAGATTTCTTAAGCATCAGCTAATTCCGGGCACTGATCTGAGGGCTGGAGACTCGGCCTTGAGCACACAGGACAAGCCCCTGCCCTCAGGAGAGGGGATGGACAATAAGCCAGCAGACAAATAAGTCTTGTTTTTCCGTGGGGCGGAGGGTGCAGCTGATCAGATACCAGAGGCAGGGAGCAGCGCAGTCCTGATGCTTGGTGTGCTTTGCCTTTAGACCCGGCTTCGGCCCCGGTTTGCTGCCGTCTTCGGAGCTGGTGCCTCCCGAGCCCCAGCAGCCACAGGCATCGGCCGAAGCCCCGTTTGCTGCCCGAGGGAGCTACTCTGAGGACGTGCCGTCGGTGGCCCGGCCGCGGCCTGTCGGGGGCACCACAGGTACACGTGCTATGTAGCTTGCGTTTCTGAACTAGAGGATGCTTGCTTTCTGGCTGAATTCTGGCAGAGTACGTTCTGGACTTCCCAGGGCGTCAGTGCCCCAGTGTTCAGCAGCCTCTTGCATGGGTAAGAACTGCTTTCCTCTGACCCTGGTGAGATGGGGGTGGGGTGGGGGAGGGCTGAGCTCTCATGACTGATGTCCACGGGTTCTTTCCTGAATCAGCATCTCAAAAGTGTTCCTTTGCATGGAACTGGAAGCACATTTCTTCTATGGAAAACAGTTCTAGGTTCTTAGGGTTAAACTGAAAGATCTATGTCTGAGCACTTGTTATGGCACTAAAACAGGTATTTGTTTTATTTTTATTTTATTTTTGTAATCCTCACCCGAGGGATAAATGTTTTCCCATTTATCTTCAGATGGGGGGGAGGGGGGAGGCAGGGAGAGAGAGAAAGAAACATCCGTGTGAGAGAGTCACATCGATTGGTTGCCTCCTGCACGACCCCAGCCAGGGACCAAGCCGCAACTGAGGTACGTGCCCTTGACCAGAATTGAACCCACGACCCTTTGGTCTGTGGGCTGACGCTCTAACTGCTGAGCCAAGCCGGCCAGGGAAATAAGTATTTATTTTAAAGAGCACTTTTCCAGCTTGTAAGAGGCAACTTTAGAAGTTGCTGGACAGTTGGGTAGGGGTGGGGGGAGATTTTTGTTTTATTTGGTCTGGAAGGTTACAACCACTGCTCCTTGAGCCTCACCTCTCTCATTTTTTCCCTTCTACCTTTGTTAATATGATTATCTTCCCTTTTTGAATTGTCTTTTTTTTCATGGCTCTGTGCCTGAGTCCTGCTGGCTCCTCCCTGCTGGCAGACACGTGGCCTGGGGGAAGCTGGTGGCCACATGGACCTCTCAGTTTTCTTCTGCCCCTTTCCAGCCTCATTAAAAGAACTGACTTACTGTCATTTGTGGGTAACCAGTGCAGCCCCTTACTTAATAATTAAACAGTGAAAGGTCACTCTTTCTCAAGTGGTCTTCTAATTCATGATCAGACTTTTAAGTATTTGCATAGGGCTTTACTTTTAGTATTTAGGTTTCCTTTAATTACCTGTTGAAATTCAAATCAAACTCTCTACCAGAATATCTCCACGTAGGAAATAAAAGCCCCCAGTTTATGTTTTTAAAAGAACGTAGTTCAAAGTGTCCACTTTCTGGAAATTTTGAAGCCAGAGAGAAAACAAATTTTGTTAAATATTTTGTTTTAAAAACAATTCCAAAAGCTATAATTAGTTGATTTGAGAAACATTATGCATAATTTGGTTTACGTGTACAAGTGTAATATTTAGTACATTCAATGTAAAGATACAGGGTGTTTTTCTTAGACCACAATTAAAAGTCAGGAATTGAGTCTCTCTTCGTATGTTCACTTGTGGTTTTTAGAAAAAGAGCTCTCACCACCTGTGTTTTAACAATCGAACACTTAGTTTTTGTCAGTTTTTAGAGACGTGTGTCCCAATTCAACAAAACCAGGGGTCCTCAGGATTTTGGTAAAGCAAAAAGAGAAGTAATGTTTCCTGAATAATTATATCTGGATAAGAAATATATTTTCAGAAGGTGAGTTGAGAAGAAAAGAGAAAAAACAAAACAAAAAAACATTTGTTTTAAAGTCTCCTGGGAGTTTTGTGTTAATATTTGAACCCAGAAGAGATTCTCATCAAGTTCAGGAGATGCTTGACATTTGAGGGATTTGTCCTGAGACCTTATAAATCCCCAGATTTCCAAATGCTGCTGCACCTTATTCTTGGTTTCGCTAATCCATCCAGGGAAAGTGTAAGTGGACCAGCTCAGAGACCCCCTGCAGACCCACAATGGGAGCCTATGCTGGTAGTTGATGAGCATCGCTCAACACACCTGAGCTGGTTCCTACATGGCAGATGGCTGGTCTGCCCACCAGTTTACCTGAGGTTCAGTCTTATACCCCAAAATTACAGGTTACTGTTTTTAAAAAATATGTATTTGTATTGACTTTTAGAGAAAAGGGAAGGGGGAGGGAGAGAGAGAAACATGCCAGAGCAAAGCATGATTGGCTGCCTCCTACATGCCCCCCACAGGGGATCAACCCCGCACCCCGGGCATGTGCCCTGACTGGGAATTGAACTGGCAACCTTTTGGTGTACTGGACGATGCCCAACCAACTGAGCCACACCAGCCGGGGCCAGATTACTGTATTATGTTACAAACATCATTTCATGAGTCGTTGACACCAGGAATGCTACATCTGTGAATGTTCAGTGCTCCGGAAGTGTCTGTGTAGTTAAGATGCTGAGCTCTTCCCGTTCCTTGTACACCTGGCTCTGCATACTCTGAACACCCCTCAAAGCTGTCACTCGTCTTACTGAGTTTCATTACGAGGGCTCAGACTCTTCTTTGTCCCGTTCATTTCTTCACCCTCCTATTTGAAGTCGGATGCTTTAATAAGAGGGGCCATTACATGTTCAGTGATGTATTTTGCTATTTTCTAACTTTCTGGAGAATAGATACCTTTATAATGTCATCAAGAAACAAGTTTAGCCCTGGCCGGTTTGGTTCAGCAGTTAGAGCGTCGGCCTGCGGTCCTGAGAGACCCGGGTTTGGTTCCCGCTGGGGGCGCGTACCTCGGTTGCAGTTTGTCCCCGGCCCTGGTCAGTCGTGCGGTGGCAGCCACTCGATGTGTTCCTTTCACATCGATGTTTCTCTCTCTCTCTCTCTGTTCCTCTCTCTCCCTCTCACTCTACCTGAACAAAAAAATGAGAAAATGTCCTCGGGTGAGGATAAAAAAAAAGAAAAAAAAAGAAAGAAACAAGTTTAGGCCAATTCCAAATTTGCAATAATTGGTGGATAGTGATCCGAGGTCTCCTGGGTGGTTCTTGTACTTTGCATTGTCTGTCTGTTAACTAGACAAATAGCATATCCTGACATCCTGCAGGAGTCCCCATTCGTCACAGGTGCTGTGTTTGCAGTGAGTCTTGCTGCTTCTGTTAATTGCTGCATAGCACATATTTCAAACAAAATCCAGGCATGTTCATTTTTGATCTGCAGGAATATAGAAATTATATGCATGAAAACATTTGAAGAGGAAGCTATTTTCTAATAATTCCTAGTAATTGATTAAATTGTGTAAAAATTTGTAATGGAAAAATATTAAGATATACTAGGAGAGTTCCCTTTCTGACTATGTAAAATTATCTAATATATATATATATGTATATATATATATGTCTAAAAATGACCAAAGAACAAAAAGATAATAGTATCTAGGGAAGATTTACAGCAAATATGACCAAGAGGTATTTTTATTATAGAGGTTGATGGCTCATGTAAATTGATAAATGGACAAACCTCAAAGGTTAGGAAAGCTAAATGGTCAGTACAGGAAGAAAATGCACAAAAGAAATGTGTGTGTACCCTATGAAAGTAAACATATGAACAACACTATTATATTATTTCTGGTGTTCATATAAATCATTAAACTTTTGGGAAGCAGCTTGGCAATACTTAATGAGCTTTTTTTTTTAATCCTCACCCGAGGACATTTTCCCATTTTTTGTTCAGATAGAGTGGGAAGTGGGGGGGAAGAGAGAGAACCATCAACGTGAAAGGGACACATCGAGTGGCTGCCACCCGCACAACCAACCAGGGCCGGGGACAAACTGCAGCCAAGGTACATGCCCTTAGCGGGAACCGAACCCGGGTCTCTCTGGACCTCAGGCCGACGCTCTAACCGCTGAGCCAAACCGGCCAGGGCCTTAATGAGCTTTTTGATTTGGTAATTCTACTTCTGGGAATGTAGGCTCCTCCTCCCCAAAGAAATCCAAGATATTGGAGAAAAACTACATGTGCAAAAATGATTATCAGAGTTTTATTCATAATAGCAAACAGTTGTGAGCTCCCTAAATACCCAGTAATAGGGCATCAGTGAATAACTTGTGTAGCTATTTAAAATGAAGAGCTTAGAAAGAGCCAGAAAAAGGGAGTTGAAGATTTCTGGGTTGCCTCCGATGTGTTTGGTACTTGACCTACTTTATCTCTTTTAATCCTTGAAATAACACCATGAGGTAGATTTCTTGTTATCCCATCTGAGCCTGTTGAGGCTCAGCAGGAGTGACAGCCAGGTGCCCAAGGTCGTAGGGCTTGTCCGAGGCTGGGCTGGAATGCAAACCCAGGCTGGGTGGGAGGAGGCCCCACTTTGAACCACAAGGGAAACCTGTGTTGTATCGGGAAGTGAACAAAGCAAGATACATAACGTGTCTGAAACATGGTATCAAGTACCAGCACAGTATTGACACAGAGATGTTGCTTCGGTATTGACACAGAGATGTTGCTTCGGTATTGACACAGAGATGTTTGCTCCCTGTCTGATCTTTGTAAGGGATGGAGAGCGCTGTGCTGCACTTAGGTTCTGTGCCAGGTTCGCTCCGACCATGTCTGTTGGGCAAACAGAACTGAGTCCTGATAATTTTAATGCTGTGACGGATCTTCAGTACCTGCAGAGTGTGCTGCAGAGTTCTGACAGGAGTCGGAAAGTTGTTTCCTGACCTTTTGTTTTGTTGTTGTTGTTAATCCTCACCCAAGGACATTTTTCATTGATTTTTAGATAGAGTGGAAGGGAGGGAGAGAGAGAGAGCGAAGCATTGATGTGAGAAAGACACATTGATTGGTTGACTCCCGTACAACCCTCACCTGGGCTGAGGATCAGACCTGCAACCCAGGTTCATGCCCTTGACTGGGAATCGAACCCATGACCCTTCGATCTGCAGGCTGGTGCTCTAAGCTAAACTGGCCAGGGCTGACCTTTAGTTTTTATTGTATATCCAAATAAAACAGGAGGAGTTTTTTGTTTTTTATTTTTTAATGGATTTGATTAAGGGAGGCTGTTAGACAACTCGAGGAGGAGGAGGAGACTTGAAGATGGAGGGGGGCCGCCTCCCTCACCTCTGTGAAGTCTCTGAACCTTTGTAGGTCCAGTCTGAGCATCACAGATGAATTTGATGATCCCAGGGGCATTTGGAAATAAGTATGTTTCTTTCCACAGTACTTAAAGATCACCTTTGTTCTCCCTTAACCTGCAGAAGGGGCACATTTCCACATGCCAAAAGCTGATGGGGAAGAAAACTGTGTTGGTTAAAGCCTGGTCTTCTAGCCACACGGGGCCCCAGCAGGTGGATGTGGGAAAGAGCTCAGAGGACTCCTGGCTCTGCTGTTAGTACCCTCCTGGTGGGTGGGTGGCTTTAAAGTTTTAACTGTGACATAGCCAGTTACAGAAACAATGTGAGTATAATGCAAATAGAGGCTAACATTCTGAATTTAAATAAATATGCACCCTACCTTTTAAGAGAACACAAACAAACAAACAAAAATACATACTGTGTTTTCGGTTCCTTGTGAGTCTCAAAGCCATGAGCAAGGAGCCAGGTTTCAGCTTCTTTATGGCTGCTGAGCCTTTTCAGTCCTTTCTTCTGAATAAATAAGATTGTTCTTGTGTGTCACCTCTGCAAAGGACTGGGAGGGCTGTCTGTTCCCTTTATTCCCAGTCCTTTGATGTCTGGCCTGGAAAATAACACCATCGCTGTCAGCCATTTGATGAAGAGGAAGTAAAAGCCCATGAGCAAGAAGCTCACGGCTTGGTTTTCTTAGGAAATGTCCTTCTCTGGAGATAGAATGGGTGCCGTGTTTGAACAATGCTCGCTTCCTGTCCCTAAGGGAGTGTGGTGGTCACAGCCGAAGGGCCTCGCTGGGCAGCCTCAGTCTCCTGCCTGTATTGACCGGGCTGCTCCATTTTGTTCCCTCAGGCTCCCAGATTCAGCACCTGACCCAGGTGGGAATTTCGAGCAGAATCGGAGCTCAGCCCGTGGAAATCCCACCAAGCAGAGGCGGCCAGTACGGGGGCCCAGGCTGGCCCTCGTACGGGGAGGAGGAGGCGGGCCGAAGAGAGGCCGTGAGTATCTGGGGTTGGGTCACCACTGAGAATTCCGACATAATCACTTAATTCAGCTGCTTCTGCTTTGGGGATCCCTTTAAAACACCTACATGTTTGGACTGTCCTCTGTTTTTTCCCTTTGAGTGTATTTTTGTTGCAGTTTTCAGATGGATCTTCCCTCCGATCCAGAGTGGGGAGTATCGGCCAAATTGAACTTTTGGAAAGTATATAATTTTTCTTGAAGCAGATTTTTAGGCTTGAGGTCATGATTTAAAAAAATAACCTTTTGAAAAATAATAAAAGCAGTGTTCATTATAGAAAATCTGGACAGAGACCTAAGTAACAGTTTTTTAAAAGTTGTTTTTTTTTTTTCCAGTTTTTCATTGTGTTTAAGTACAGGTCACATAGTTTACCATCGTAGCTAGTTTAAGTGTCCAGTTCATTGGTGTTCTTTGCATCCCTCCTGGTATGCAGCCATCACCACCATCTCTATGGCTCTTTTCATCTTGTGAACTGAAACTTGGTCCTCATTAAACATTAACTTCCCACGTGTCCCTCTCCCCAGCTCCGGGCGGCCGCCATTCTACTTTCTGTCTCTGTGATTTTGACTTTTAAGTGACAAATTTGAAGCTGTAGGTGACTAAAGTCTGGACTGGGTCTTTGGTGTGATCGCTGTATAAATATCTGTGACCTTGTGTGCCTCCTTGCTCACGGCTGTGCGTGATTGTGGGTTTGTAACATCATTTCCATTATGAGCACGAGGAGATGCCTTTGCCATAAGCACGCAGTTTGGGGCATTTCAAGACGCAGGGTTTATTTTGGAGGTTTCTCGTCACTCTGATCACTTCTCTATCTCTTTATTTATTTATTTATTTATTTTTCTGATCACTTCTCTGTGAGCACAGAATCAGTACGGGCACAGGTCGTTTCTACAAATGCTTTCCTTTGTTTTGTTTTTTTCTTAAAAATTTTATATCCATGGGAATAAATGTATGAATTTGGAAATACAAACCAAAATAATACTTTTTGTGTTATCCCCAACTTTCATTGCATTTGTGTGTTATTTTAGCAAATGCACCATATTCCTTTAATGACGGGATGCTTTTACTTAATGAAAGGAGATCAACGGTAGAATATAACTTTTTCCTTAAAGACGCATTGTTATAAATCTCAGGTATTTGCTTTATATTTGCTGACATCTTTCTTTTTCTGCCTTCACTGTGCCAACTTGGTTTCATTAGGCCTTTGGGTTTTCCGGTCAAACCAAAGGGTCCCTTTAGAGTTTCTCCCTGTCACTGTTTGGAATAGTGAAATATAGACACATGCTAGGGCTTGAACGCCACGTGTACCAAGCTAACAACTTACGCTTAGCATAGGTGAAACCAGATTTAGAACTTGCATATATGCAAAGAGAGATTTTTTTTCACTGAAAAAAAAAAAAAAGAAAAAAAATCACTGAAAAGTATAATTCTTGTCAAATGAATATCCAGTTATATAAGGTGGGGTAAACGTAGGTTTACATATGTGAGTACATGAAACAATTTATTCTTGTGTTATTATTTATTATTGTCATATTTTCCATACGAGCAACTATAAACCTACTTTTGCCCCACCCTGTATTATGATAAATATAAGCAAAACTGTTATATGTTTTAGTGTGGATAACTTTCTAAAAAATATATGTTTTTATTGAGTTCTTAAAGAGAGAGGGAGAGAGAGAGAAACATCGATCACCTGCCTCCTGTGTGGGATCGAGCCTGCAACCCAGGCATGTGCCCTGACTGGGAATTGAACCTGCGACCTCTTGGTGCGTGGGACAACGCTCAACCACTGAGCAACACTGGCTGGGCAGTGCAGATAGCTTTTTAAAGGAAAGGCTCAATAGAGTGTTCGATAGACACACAGACAGATGACATGGAAAATGATTTTGTGATCTTGTTCCTTCTCCGTGGCCCCTGGGCTCTAGTCCCAGGACAAAGTTGTCTTTGTCAGCGCCTCTGCCAGTATCTGCTTATCTCTCCCAACTCTCGGGTGTCCTCCTCTGACCTTCTACCTCTGTGGGGTACTCCAACCTCCCTTCCTTCCCAGCTCTCTGGGTCCCTTCCTGTTGGTTCTCCCAGCCGCCGCTCACATCCACACACACAGACACAGAGACCTGGCTGACCGGATTATCCTTTCTGTCATTAAGTATTTATGAGGCACCTGTTAAGTCAAGGTCAAGGGTTTCTTTTTTTTTTTTTGGTTAATCCTCACCAAGGATATTTTTTCATTGATTTTTAAAGAGAGTGGAAGGGACGGAGTGAAGGGGGGAGAGAGAGAGAGAGAGAAAAACATCAATGTGAGAGAGACATCGATTGGTTGCCTCCTGCAGTACCCCGACTGGGGTGGAGATCACCTGCAGCCCAAGTATACATGCACCCTTGACCGGACGTTGAACCTCAGACCCTTCGGTATGCAGGCCGGAGCTCTAACTGCTGAGCCACACGGCCAGGGCGTCAAGTGCAAGGATTTCTTGATTGCACTGCTGTCCCCCAACAATCCCGCAGTTACTCCTCTCCGTTCGAGCCCGGGGTGTCCTGCGAAAGGGCTGCGTGGCCGGTGGGGGATGGGCGGAGGCGGTCCCGGGAGCGTGCCCCTCCTGTTCCCACGTGGGACGTACAGCGCCCCCTGCCGTGTCTTTCAGACCCACGCGATCGGACATCAGGAGTACGCTTCGCCGCTGTTCCAGGTGCCAAGGACTTCGGGCAGGGAGCCCTCCGCGCCCCCCGGGAGCGGCCCGCCCCGGGGGCTGCCGGGCGCCGCGCTGGCCTACGCCGCCAGCTCCACCGAGGACCTCCAGCCCGGCCACTCCTCCGCCTCGCTCATCAAGGCCATCCGCGAGGAGCTCCTGCGGCTGTCGCAGAAACAGACCTCGGTGCACAGCTTCCACAGCTGATGGCCCGGCTGCCTCGGCCCGTATCCGCTTCCCGTGGAAGCAAGGCCCAGAGGCGGCCAGCGGGGCGGCAGCGAGGGGCCGGCTCCCGGGGCTGGGCGCGAGGAAGGAGCACGTGGCCATCGGAGAGGGTGCCAGGTGCCACACGTCACGTGGCAGCCGCGGGCCGCTGTGCCCCCTCGGTGCCGTCGGGGTTCCTGGACCTTTGGCCGAAAGCCAGCCGCACGCCACGAAAGGCCGACCGCAGACCTGGGCCCGCGGAATCGCTGGGTCCGTGTCCCACGGCCAGTGAAAGGGGACCGCGTGCGGCAGGGAGCGGGCGGACGCGAACCCCGCGTTCCCGGGGGACGCGCGCTGGAGGCTGGTTTGGACCGTGGACCTGCTGCTTTGTTTCCTGAGGAAAGAGATCTGAAGACGTTTTATTAACCGCTTATTCCCCCCCTTTTTCTCCATAGGAACTTATTTTACTAGTGATATTAACAACAAGGATACTAAGACTGTTCGGGAATTTTAAAAGCTACTAGTGAGAAACCAAATGCTGGATTGTGGAGCCTGATGACTCCGAACGGAGCATCACCTGCGTTCGCCCTTCCACTCCTGGTGCTACAGCGGCAAGGCCTCCCCGTGTCTGTGAAATGCAACCTTGGCTTTTCCAATGGAAGAATGTTGAAGGTTTCATTTTGTTCTAGAAAGGGGAAAAAAAAAACCACCCCCTAAGTGAGGGGGGTGAGGAAGCTTAATATTTATTTGGTTATTCAAAATACATATCAAAGTTTAGATTTACATTCTTAACTGTGGTTGCTGGTTTTTAATGGGGCACACGCGACTCCTGAGGTGTCCCACCTCTGCACATAGCATTTCCAAGGCCAGTCCTGTCCAGTGAGACTCTCAGCAGGTCCTCGCTGGCCCTTGCTTTGGCGATGAGTTGCTCACAAGTTGTGTTTGAATGAGAAATTGTACGTGAGCAAAGATTGCGTTTAAACATTCCTAGGACCACCAAATTGTGATTAGTGCATACGTTCCCAGTAGTCATATTCCCTGTGTGTTCAAGACCTAGAAACGAAACTCAGTCCTCTCTAGCCTCTCTCTGTTGAATCAAGAAATGTAAAGAGGAGCTTTGGGAACAAGGGAAAGAAGAGGGTAGTTCTAGTGTCTGATCTCCTTGTGCTGAACTCTGCTGAGTGACGTGGAAACCATCGGTGTGTTTGGGGCCTGCCGGAGGGTATCATCTCCCTCGAGGTTTACTCTTGAAGTCACCACTCCCCGCCTCCCCAAGTTAGACCGAGGAATGGAATAACAAGGGGTGCTTGGTTTTCTGGTACCCGAGTGAAGCTCAGAAGAAAACCAGACTTAGATAACACATTGCTATAATGAGTCCTTTTTATTAGATCAGCTAAGACCAAACAACAGAGAAGCATGCAGAATTGGGGCCTCTAATCAAAATCTGTGTTGCACTTTAAGAACCCCAAAACAGCTAAAGTGGGTTTCTGCAATGTAATCATTGTTCCAGAGCCGTGTTTCAGCCTTCCTGTACAGGGCAGGTGGGTTCTGGGAAGTGAAAATGCAACCCCTCTTCATCAGCACACCTCTGAGAGGAGGGCTGGAGGAGAAATCTCTCCAGGATGCTTTTCAGGCAGCCCCCACAAGCTCCAAGAGCATAGGAGAGAAAGCCCCCTCCTGGGCTTGACTTCTGACCCTCGGTCTTGGTTTAATACCCAGAGAGGATTCCCTCCCTGCGTGTCATTCAGAAATCCCCGGGTTCCTGTATACGCTATTGAGAATGTCAGACATCCAAATAGAATTGTATTATGGACACCTTCCAGTGAATTCAAGTCCTGTGACAGCAGGTGGACTGAATGCAGGCCCCTCCTCTCCCATTCTGCTCACGGGGGGCAGTGTGGGCGCTGAGAGTGGACCGAAAGTGGTTACCTCCTTTGGGCATTGAAGAAACGGGCCTCTGTTTTCAAGGGGGCTGCAGTGGCAATTGTGATGCCTTTCAAATGAGCACACGAGGATTCAGCCTATATTGTTCTTCTCAGAATTGCTACACTTGTAAGCCAATGTCAAGACCAAAGAGAACATATAATAACTGGTAGGGTGGGGTGGGGTGTGGGGTGGGGTGTTCAGGCCAGCGAGATCACCAGCACCCTTGTGTTGGTTGTGAACCACACCCAGGATGTCCTTGTTTTCTCTCAACACCTGCCGCAGAAGTTTTACCAGTCACCAAACTCAGGACACACTAGCTGTCTGGGGGGCACCAACGCCCTCATGGGTCTGCAGACACCCAGCCAATGTGATCTACTTAAAAGGAAATCCATCACGCGTGCTTTGGAGTTCCATTTATTTGAAGCACTCTCAAATGAAAAGTTACATTTTATGTCTTTTGTTCCTATTTTTAAAGTCTTAGTGGTAATAACATGAGCTATACATTTGACTCAGTACTCAAACTGTTTGGAGAAATCATTTTCAGAGTCTACTGTGTTATGAACACTCTGTCAGATCCCTTCTCTGAACCTCATTCTCCCCATCAGCCAATCAAGGACAGACCTCCCTTGCCCACTTCCTAGGATTTCTCATTTCTCATTGTATTAGATGCGGTCATGTGTGCAAATGTCCCTTAGAAGGGAGCACTAAGCACTGTGAACATTTAAATGTTATCTGTATGATTATGCTGGGATGGATGATCTGATATGCTGTGACCTACCAGTGAATGAGTTCACGTGGAGGTACCCAGAGCAAAACTAAAGGCCTCATGTGACTCTTCTTCCTCTCTCCTGTTTTGCTTTAAATTCACTTCCTTCTCCATGAACTTTTAAACAGCATTTACTAAACATCTTTCATGTTCCTGATTTTCTGCTGTTTCTGGCCCCAAATATGTCCAAAACGAACCCTGCCTTCTGAGATCTTAGACTCTAAGTCGGATAACACAGATGGGTATAAAAGATGAAACATACGCATGAATAACACGGCTTAAACATCCGTACAATTTGTTGAAAGTGCACACGTGCATTAGGTACTCAGCAAAAGAAGTGGACGTTGCGTGTCTGGAAACAGGATCTTGGGGAGAAGTCCACTTCAGCAGCTACCTGGGTGAAGACAGGGGAGCTGCTCAGGGAAATGGTGAGATGGCGTGGGAGAGCCGAAGGGGGCCTGGGGAAGGCTGGAGGAACTGGGTCAAGTTGTTGAAAATGAATGTGATCCTGATCCGCTACAATATGGGGACAAAATTCCTACCTCACTGTCCAGGGAGCTTTGTTAGAGGAGGAAGCGGTGCTGTGAGGGCATGTTTGCAGTAACAAGGGCGTGGGGAATGTCCAGGCCTATGAAGGTGGTCTGTAGAGGATGAGATCCATTCTGGAGAGAAGGGGAGTGTCTGCCTAGGACCCGATAGAGAGCATGGAAATCGTGCTGAGAATTCCACCAGCTGCTCCACTGCTTAGAGCAGACCTCAGTGGTCAGCCGTGGGGCCCCGTCAATCCTTGTGGAGCGTAGTGGGTTATAAATGCATCTATTTGACTTCCCCACAGCCACCTACATGTTTTTCTCCAAATTTTAATTTCAGAGTGTGTTTTGATTTTGGTGGCACATGGCTTTTGAGCAGCAGACTAAGTGGGTGTTTTGCCAACCAGACTTTTCAGGGCATGAGGCCTGGGATGCAAGGCACAGGCGAAGTTCTGCCTGAAGGCTTCGCGCCGAAGCAGGTAACTGTGCTTTATGAACCTTACCTGTGGACCGGGGTCCGTGTTGACTGCATGGCGCAACTTCTTAGTGCTCCAGTGACCAAACCAGTCACTCGGATGTCGGTTGGCATTTGCAGTAACTCACGAGTTAATCATTCAATAAACTCCTCTCTCCCCTTCACACTAGATTCTTAGACATGAATGAATTTGTTGGTTGGAAGGAAAACTGATTAAGGTTCTGGGCAGGGGAATGGGGGCCCCCAGTCTTCACTACAGTAACGTGAGCTCTAGTTGAGCTTTAGCCATTTCATTTCTACCTCCAGAGCAAATCTCCAAAGCCAGCCTCCAGAACCTGCTGGTCCATATTCGTCCCAGAGAGGAGCACCAAGAAAGTCCACTTTTATACCTGCAGACAGACCATTGACCACAAAACCTAGGTTTATGGGATGGTAACTTGAACTTCGTTTTTACATTTAATCTAACACATTCACAGACATCCTTGTAACAGGTAAGAGGGGTTTCTATGAGCACCTGCTATAACGTACTCATAAAATGTAATAGGCTGACACTTAATACATAATGAACAAGGAGTGTGTCCACTTCAGCTTTCTTTTGATATTTCTGGAGGGGATTTTTAGTGTTTAAATGAGGACTCTTTTCTCTGGTATTAAAAAGACTTGAAAACCGAAACCTCACGGTACGATCCTAATTCTGTCTTTGTGTGTGGGTGCAGTGGTACACTTGAGAACTTATCTTAAGAACACGCAGCAGCATTGAAATTTAGGAAAAGAATATTTAAATGCCTTTGGAAACCGGAAACAAAGTTAGGAACCCAGTGAGCAAGTGAGAAGGAATGCATGAATCTGAGGAACGCTAGTCCAAATGCGTTCCCACAGGGTAGATCCTTACGCAGGTGGCTCGCTTTTCCTTCTTCCAGGTTTTTGTCTGGGCTCTGGGCCACTTCAAATTTAAAGAAAGGGTGAAAGGGTGAAGGGAGGGAGATAAAAATGTAAGCGATTTGGGTCTTGTAGCCCCTGACTCCGCAGAACCGTTCTAGACAGCGTGGAGCACCGTGCCCTCCAGATGTCATGCATTCACAGCTTGACTCCCTGTGTGCAAGTTCGGAATAGTACAGGGCCAAGTGCAAGCCAGACACCCTGTGCTGTTCTACGGATGTGCGGAAGGAAAGGGGTGCTAGAGGAATGGAAGCTCCGTCAATGAACTCAGTTGCTCTAAGCACCAGAGGGCTCATTGCAGAAAAGGGGTGTGGACTCGACTCTGCTGTCCTCCAGAGCAGCATCTAGGGAGCATGGAGATGGGGCT